AGCTGATGATACGAGTCCAATTTTTATTGAAAAGAAGTTGTCAATGATATCAAAAAGTCTGGACTATGATTTATCGTAGAGAATGGTGGTATATAAATTTGAAAAGTTTTGAGTTTTTAAGCTGCTGATTTTGATAAAATTTTGTGATTTCAAATTTTCCAAAAGTTTCTTGGAATTTTTTAGTGTCCAAATCTTATTTACATCGCTTCTGGAATGTATTGTTACACAGTATACTCTTGAAGTTTCTCATTCATTGCTGCTAATTTCTTAGTGAGGTATAAAGAAAGAGGCTTGGTTGAACATTTACTGGAATCTGCTATGTATCTTTGATTGTAGGGATTATTATGAAGTTTTGGAATTCAATATAGATATGGTATTTCAAAAATCATTTTGGTTGTTAGGAATATTAAAAATATCCAAAACTGACACATGTTTTTGAAGAATTTCTTCCTTAGAAATTATGAGTATAATTTGGATTACCACTTGAATTAAATCCAAGTTCTTCTAAAATACAAGTTACTGAGTATATAATGAGCCTTACAAACGAAGACAATGCTGTTACCTGCTTTGTAAGAATGTGAAATTTGAAAGCTATAGCTCCATCCAGCCAAAAGTTATGAGCAAGGTTAATTCTCATTAGACAGCATACAGGGCAAAAACGATGTACCCCGGAATCTTCGATTAAAGGGGCATAATAATCAGTTCTTATTCCTGTAGAATGATGGGAAAAATTCAAGTCTTAGTTATTATTTAATATTGTAAAGTATACATTTTATGTTACTCTTTGCACTATCAATTTTATCACTAAGATATTTTGGTGGTCGTTGTCATTTTTATAGAATATTCAAAATCCTACTATACTCGTGGTCACGTGTTTGGCCAGAGAATCCACCTGACAATTGTATTCACCGATAGTACAATAAAGGAATTTAGCTAGAGAAAAAGTCCTTTAGTATTCGTAGTAACCCATTATGCAATTCTCATTCAGCTGATTGGTCAGTTAAAGTCACACTGGTGCCTCATTTGCTAATCTGACGCCAAAAAAAATAGTCCCGGTTCCCATGCAAAAACATTTGTCAAAAAAGAAATTTTAATTCATGATAGCAGAAAATTGTATCATAGATAATACTTATTATTTAAATTTGAATAAATTCAAGAGAGATCAATTGAAGTACATTTCTACAGAATGATATTATAATTTATAGGGTGGTGAAAACTAAAATGCAACATAACTTTTCTGTTTACCATGTCTCCACGTGCTAGTCACTTCCTAGCCACATTTCCGTGAATAATTTACCCTATCTCGCTGTAGTCTCGCGAACTCTCGCCAGAGCCACTGCCAGAGCTACTCTGAAATCACCGGGTTTTATTATTTGTAGAACACCGAAAAATAAAAGGTTCCGAACACATTAGTATGGGTGTTATTGGTTATCTTGAAGTCATTACAAATGTTTGAGATAAAATCTTTTGTTTTCGTTTATTTAAATCGATAATAATGAACACAAATCTTCAAAAATTTCTTACATGCTGGTGAACGCGTAAATTTTGGTTATATATCAACGATTTTTTTTTATTTGAATAGTTTTTATTTCTTGTTTTAAACTCCTCTGCAAAGACAAATAAAGCTATTAATGTCTACAGTAAAGACATTCAACTTTTGACATGTCTAATCTTATTACATGTAAAACTTTAGTAGATCTACCCAAGACGTCATCTTTTGGTCTTTTAATACTTTCTATTTCCAAAAAGCTCAAGACAGTCCAATAAGTTCCCCAATCATAAAAAGGAACACCTGTTGGGTTTGACCGATCGGCAGGGGATGCTCACCCCTCCAGGGCACCTGATCTCATGCATTTCTGATGTTTTAGAGTTCTGTGTTTGATCTGCTCCTAATTTGTATTGTAGGAACGGACTTTTGAGCTAGAATACTGTTATCTCCATACTTTCCTAAATCCGTCCAATATTAATTTGAAATTAATAAAAATCAACACGAAAAATAATAAATCGTTATTTAAAACTCATATTTGTTCAAACTTACTGAATGGTTATATTATGGTTAAGTTATTCACAACTCATTCCACTAATTAGGAATTTAAAATTCTAACTCATCATCTAACTCACAATACAAACTGAAACTTAATAATTGTTCCATCAAAACTCTCAAAAACACAAACTTTAATAATTGTTCTATTAAAACTCACTTTAAAAAATCACAGAAACTTACACTTGAATGACTGGACTTGAATTTGATTGAAGTAAATTCCAATTCAATTTGAATAATAATTATGTCACTTGCACCAACGACATAGTCGGGAAAGGGACGTCTTCTTCTTAATTCTACTCACTTTCTACTGAAGAGTACCCTTTGTTCCTTTATAGGAATGCACCGTGGGTGTTTGGGTGGTAGTCTTCATCCGTTAGTTTTGTTTCCGACCTCTCCCTTTAAAAAAGTTAACATTTTTTAATCATCTATCACTTATCATTATGATCTTCCTGGGTATTAAAGCATCAATTTTGAATTCTGCGTTCTAGCTCTGCCAATTAAGGAGAATACAGTCGTTGATTATTTACATTCTGTTCCGTTTTTCACCCATGAAAACTCTTTTAAATTATCTGAAAATATTCATTCCTGTTTCAGTTGCAGAAAATTTTCTATCACTGTTCATATCCTTTCACTGGCTTCATTCTAGTGTACTAGTACTACATGTATATTAAAGTAAACTGTTTAAAGTGCCATGATTTCCTATATTACCCCCCCCCCCCAAAAAAAATCTCTAAATAGTTCATACGGGTACGCCACATCTCAAATCAATGATATTGTATGTAATACATGTATTAGATATGCTCTTCAAACACACAGAGTATGCTTATATATTACTGGTACGTATATGTATGATCCGTATAAAATTCATATTTGTTAAATTTCGTATCCTGCATGTTCTCATCAGCAAATTATATACTGCAGTTTTCGCTGCCAGACTGTGGCCATTTATTGCATGCAATAGAAACTGAATTCATAAAAGCTTTAAAAAAAATTGAAGATATCTTCAATTATTTGGATTCTATTTTGAGCTCCATAAAAGACTTCATGCAATTTTAACATACTTTTTGACTTTTTTGGATTATTATTAAAGGCACAGTGCTTCGGTAGATTCTGTCTATAGAAGCTGAATCAGGTTATATCAGAAACATGACAACCAGAGAAAGTACCCTTACCTTTAAACAATTATTTATTTATATACTAGTATTTATTTCTTATGAAGCATAGCAATCAAATCAGTTTAATTTACAAGAACTTTATTCTTTTGAAAATAAAGTTACACTGAATACATGTAAACATATATACTGTATTTACAAGTGTTTTCTTGTAAAACATTAAAGCTAAACATCATGAAACTGATTTTGATGATTGTTCACTGGCCAATGATAATTTTACATAACCATCCAATCATATTTAACATGGGCCAAAAAAATATAAGGACTTGAATTATTGGATGGTATCTAGCATAAAGCTTTATATTCAAACTCATTTTTTTGTTTTTCCAAACAATAGTTTTTCCTTAAAAAATGGAAAATAAAACAAAACCAAAAGATTTTATATTTTAAAACTGAAGTTAAAAACAAATAACATTGTATATCTGTGTAACAAATAACATTTTTTTTGCCATTTAGAATTTGACAAAGACTTTAATGCACATAAGCAATATAGATTTAGCTTTGTCTTTTAACCAAATGTTTATGAATGAATAATGTAATTAGATTTGCAGTGAACAGGAAACAGAGGCTTAAACATGTGACATATGAGATTCCATAACAAAATTTAAAATATTGAAGCCTTTGGATGTTAAAATTCACACTAAAAATGCCAATAAAAGCATTACTAAATTGCTATAACATGAACACTGACCATGTAAAATTGTGAAAACAACCAAGTGAAACAAATGTCAAAAAGTATTTCTGGTACTTTCACATAATAGTATTCATAAAATCAACTATAGGGATATTCTCTAATCAAAATCATCCCAAGGAGTGAAAAACTTTTGATTTAAAATACACAACAGAGCTTTTGGGATTTACCAGCTTTTGATTCATCATATATACTTTAAAAGCGGTATTACTGTATACAGGGTTATTTTCGCCCTTTCATACTTGCAAACAATTTTGCCCCATTTTAAATTCACCCAGTCACAGGTCTGTTTAAGAAATTATACTGTGTTCTTTGAATTCGTCCTGTTTTAAATTTGCCCATCTGTGGGTAGGGCTAAAGGGGCAAAAATTACACGGGGGCAAAAATTTCCCTGTACACAGTAATATGTTACTGGCTGTTGAAGACACGACTGGTAATATACCAATAACTGGTATGCAGTTTTAAATTTCAAGGGGAGGGGAGGAGGGGGATATGATTAGAATTTTTTTTTATTTAGTAAAATACTTCCCAAAATCAAGAATATTCAATTTCTTAATAAAATCCACAACCAAATCATAAAAAAAAATTCTTTCAGTCATTTTCTAAAAAATATTACAATGTGTACAGGGTTCGAAATTAACTCATGTCCGTAAGTCCGAGACTAGTAAAAATTGTGTCGGACTAGCAGATTTTGTAAGGTACTAGTCCGTACGGACTAGTGCAAATCCAGATATAAGTCTTGAGTTGGTTCACATTTTATTAATTTTATTTCCGAGTCTCTTAGATGTTTGAAAATAAATGAGAAACGCAACCGCGATAAAGCGTTTTCTACATTGTGATCAATAGACAAAGACGTGACCATGTGGAGATTTCTGAAAGTTGAAAACCCTCTTTCTTTCACCACATGCTTCCAACTGATGTGTGGACACATATTTCATTGAATTAATTGATAAAATTTTAAGATTTGTATTGTTCTTTTTACATACTATAGGGCGGACTAGTGGAATAGTTTGCGGACTAGTGGAAGCTAGAAGTCACTAGTCCGTGCGGACTAGTGCTAAAAAAAGTTAATTTCGAACCCTGGTGTATACTCAAGATTATCATAATATTGATGTTACATGCTTACATGATATTACCTAATGTCAAATTCAAATGAAAATATAGAGAACCATTGAATAAATATAAATTTCTGTTAACAAGTATGAAAACAAATTTTGGGAACCACTAGTACCTCTAGATCTATGGTGCAAAGGACTTTGATGAAATAAAGGGTTGTATTAATTACCATTAATTTCTAGCTCCTTTTCAATTAGAAATGCTACATTCAAACATCACTATGTAGCCAAACCCTTCAAAAGACCCCCCACAGCAATGAATTATGTCAACAACCTCCTCTCCATAAAAAAAAGTTTCCACCCCTTCAGACAATTTTCCAGGAAATATCCTTTCAGACAATACACAAAACAACAAAATAATATAACAGCACTAGATGTATACACTAAAATACCACTACTTGCGTTGTCAAATATTAAAAATAATACAAAACAAAAGGCTTAGAATCACAGATCTTTGCTTCAATGACAGGTCCTACTTGACTTTGGTTGCCATGGCTGCTGGGTGTGGGGTTGTCTGTGGCAATGGCCTCCTGAACAGTAGAATGTGAGGTTCTGAAATTAAAATTATACAAGAATTTATAAAAATTAAGTAACTATCGTTCAATAACTGGTGTTGCTAATTAATAAATTTGCCTACTAACACCTGATAGGTTTGCTGCTAGTGGAAGTTTCTAGCAGCTTGACAATTTAAGGGCTTGCTTTGCGTTATGATGAACGTCTGTCGTCATTCTATAGCTGTAGATTACAATTAAATGATAAGAATTTAATATTGAAAGCAGGCCTGAGGGAATTGCCCATCTACAAGAAAACGATGCAAAACATTCAAGAAAAAATGTAAAATATTTTTATTTCCTACATACTTAGGGATGGCAATTCTTAACCGGTTAATCGATTAATCAGTCGGAACGATGCTAATTGGTTAGAACATCTGAAATCGGTTAGTTGGAAAGAATAAACATAGGTAATCAGAGATTACAGAGCTCACCTCAACTATGTTGTCTTTAAGTAAGGCAAAGTCACACAATAACCCAACAAAAAGTGTACATTCAAAATTTATGCAATTGTGATCTGATACTTTGGAATAGACCTATATAAAAACTTCAAACTAGTTCTTTGTCACAAAAATGTGATTAAAATCCAGCATCTGTAGCAAGTTTGAGAGTTTTCATCCCTTGATGCATCATTTGGGCAAGTTTGGTTTATATAAGCCTTATAGTTTCTTGGTAATAGAACTGCACCCATAACTTTTACCTGGTACATTATCTGAAAGATGTATGTTGAATTCAGCATCTAGAGCAAATCCATTAGTGTGCATCCTAAGATGTATCATCCATGCAAGTTTGAACAACATAGGGCTAATAGTTACTAAGAAATGAAACTTGCATGAAAATTTAACCTCTTCACTCATCCAAAAAAATGTAAGTCAGATTCAGCATCCAAAGCAAGCCTGGTAGAATGCAACCTTAGATGTATCGTCCATGCAAGTTTGGTCATTATAGGGCTCATAGTATCTTGGAAATGAAACCTGCACCAAAAACTTTAACCTAATCACTCAACTGGAAAATGTAGGTCACATTCAGCATCCAAAGCAAGCCTGGTAATACGCATCCTTAGATGTATCATCCATGCAAGTTTGGTCAACATAGGGCTTACAGTTACTTGGAGATGAAACCTGCACCAAAAACATTGACTTGTTCACTCAACCGGAAAATATAGGTCACATTCAGCATCCGAAGCACATCTAGTAGTATGCATCCTAAGATGTACCATCCATGCAAGTTTGGTCATTATAGGGCTCTTGTATCTTGGAAATGAAACCTGCACCAAAAACATTAACCTGTTCACTCAACCAGAAAATATAGGTCAGATTCAGCATCCGAAGCAAGCCTGGTAATGTGCATTCTTAGATGTATCATACATGCAAGTTTGGTCAACATAGGGCTTATAGTTACTTGGAGATAAGACCTGCACCAAAAACATTAACCTGTTCACTCAACTGGAAAATGTAGGTCAGAGTTAGCATCCGAAGCAAGTCTGGTAGTGTACATCTTTAGATGTATCATCCATGCAAGTTTGGTCCAAGCAGGGCTTATAGTTACTTGGAGAGAAGACCTGCACCAAAAACATTTACCTGTTCACTCAACCAGAAAATGTAGGTCAGATTCAGCATCTGAAGCAAGTCTGGTAGTGTACATCTTTAGATGTATCATCCATGCAAGTTTGGTCAACATAGGGCTTATAGTTACTTGGAGATGAAACCTGCACCAAAAACATTAACCTGTTCACTCAACCGGAAAATGTAGGTCAGATTCAGCATCCGAAGCAAGTCTGGTAGTGTACATCCTTAGATGTATAATCCATGCAAGTTTGGTCCAAGCAGGGCTTATAGTTGCATGGAGATAAGACCTGCACCAAAAACATTTACCTGTTCACTCAACCAGAAAATGTTGGTCAGATTCAGCATCCGAAGCAAGTCTGGTAGTGTACATCTTTAGATCTTGAGACCTACACCCAAAACTGCACCAAAAATGTTAACCTGCTCCAAAAACATTAACCTGGTCATTCCTTTGCTGAAATTGCAGCATCTGAAACTTTGACTGGTACAATGAAACACATCAGAAACATCTTCCATGCATGTCTAATCAATATAGGATATACTTAAAAAGAAAACTGCTCCAAAAAACTTAACCTTAACCCGGGACGCCGACACCGACGCCGAGGGTATTACATAAGCTCCCCCAACTTCGTGGAGGTGAGCTAAAAATGTATGTAAAATTGAACATATTTTCTTAAAATTCACTTTTAAGAAAGGAAAACATTGCTAAAAGTTCATTTAGCGTTTTTACATATCTTGTAATTAAATAATTTGGACGTATTTATAGCTCTCCTGATTGGGGTCACGGGGTAGTTGGTCAGTTTGTAAAGTGTTACGGACAGATGATACAAACAAAAAATGGATGCCTGGATTGGTTTATATTTTTTGGCCTAATTTCATTGAAAATGATGCAAATAATATATTTCTAGAATATAATGAAATCGTAAACCTTCTATGATGTTCAAAAGTCTGCCTCTCTGAAACTATCCTTATAATCTATACAAATATTTTTCACTTCAAATCCCATTTTTGCGGAAATTTGACTAAAAATTTAAAAACTACGCGGTGAAACTTGTTCAATTTATTCATTAAAACATGACTCAAGTCGTTATTTTCAATTTTGTTGACAAAAGTTTGTTTGTATCATCTGTCCTTAATTGCTGTTTTTTCAAACATCATGTTGTTACCCCGACTGCCCTGCATGCATGTGATTTTTTAATGATAGTAAAAACATCACCATTTAGGGCTTGAAATTAGTATGTCTATATTTTGCCATTATCTATTATTAAGTTTTGTCATATTTTAGAAAAAAAAGTGTAAATAAAGTGAGAGTTCAGACATAGTTTTGATTATGGTGACAATGCAGAATAAACTTCTTTCACATCTGCATTGGACAATTATCTGTGTCTGATTCTCAGGCAAGATTCATGGTTTTCTTCATTTTTTTTTCTTATATATTGAAATTAAAATAAAATATACTCCTATGCACATAAAATATACCAATCAAGATAATTAACAGAATATAACTTCTGAAGTCTTTTTTAGCCTTCTTGTGTATATGAAGAAATGTCAAAATGAACATGTTGATACGACTAACCGATTAATCGGTTGGAACGTCTTGCGGTTAACCGAATAGCAATTCTGTAATCGATTGCTATCCCTACTACATACTTAAAGTATTTTCCCCCTAACTACCTATTTTAGCATATTTCTTCCTTCATTCTTTTGCTCACCTGAACTGTGAATTTAGGGAATTTCCTGTATCACTGGTTGCTGTCATTAAGTGTCAATCTGACACATTTTTCACTTCCCTTGAAAAAAATTGTAGGAAAAAAACACAGCAATGCCATATAAGTCATATTGAAAGTGATGCAACCATGTATTATTTGGATTCAAGTTCAATTAAATAGGTCATGATCCCTTAAGCTACAAAGAGATCTATCATTTGGAAACTATCATTGGGGGGGGGGGGGGGGGGGGGGGGGGTAAGTTCTTTAAAATGTTTGTTTTTTTTTCCTGAAGAACAGCAGGGCCAAGGTGAACATTGTGGCTCATGGGCCTCCAGGCTTTTTTTTAATATCTAGTGTACTTTTTAGTAGCCTTGATTTTCTATCTGATTAGGTTTACCTGGTGTATGCACCATGTAGTGAATCCACCCTGGTGATTGCTGCACCCCTAGGTTTCTCCATTCTGTCTCTGTCATCAAGTGATTCTTGGGAACCAGTTTTGCAATGTCATTTGGAAGAATAACGTGCCTACAATATCAACTTCAATTAAACAAACATTCGAACAAAGACTTGTCAATAAAGAAATCAACATAACTGATATGAAATTCAAGACTACTTTTAGCATTAATCTTGTATGCATGAAAATTAGAGGATATAAAATCTAAAATAAATTTAAATTTATCTCCCCATTGACTATAAATGACAACAAAATGATCAGAATTATTTACTACCAGTACGTCATGATAACAACATAGCGACTTTTAAATTTTCTAAATAAGAAATTCTGGATGATTACCTGTACTCATACTTCTCATCGTTGTACTTCTCAGAATACGAAATTTGATCAGCAGACATATTTCAGGTTTTAATTACTTCTCTTCAATCTGAAAGATAATCGAGATTTAATTAATATTAGTTATTCTGTCAATAGGTATCTTAATAGGCTAAGAGTTTACAGAAGCAATTACATGTAAACTTATCTAGAAAGAGATCAAAAAATGTTATGAACTGCATAAAAGAATTAGATCTGATGAATACATGTACAATGATTGAAAGCCTTCAAAAGCATTGGTAAACGGGTAATACATGTATTGCTCTTTTATTTTTGCAAGGGCTGTTGGTTGAGGTTGCCCTTGCAAAATGTCATTCCTGCAAATATTATGTTTACTTTCAGTGCCGGACAACTCATCGAAAGACAGTTCATTGACAAAAGTGAAATTCATGAATGCTTGCAAATTCTCTGAATGGACAATTCATCGACAATAGTTTTCACCCATGTATTTGTTTGATGTTGTGTTAAGTGTTCAGATATAATTAACATAATTAAAGTTATATAAAAAAAAAGTTTTCTGTGTCTTTTTTGTATTCATCACCGTTGGCCTAGCACATTCAAATTGCTTCTCTAAAATTTGAACATGGTCAAAGGTCAGCAATATTGGGTGAAGTTTTTGATTTAATGAAAAAAAGGTGCAAAATGAAATTCAAGAATTTTGAAAGTTGTCAGGAATTATGAAGAAAGGACAACAGATTTTTTCCTACTGTATCTGGAATGGTTGGCACACATCTTATCAAGAGGCCCACGGGCCTTATAGGTCACCTGAGTATTGTGTAACAACTTTTAAACAATTAAATTTGGTTTGTGTTTTAAACCAGAGGCCATGAAATTCCTAATTCACAATTTTCAAAGAGGCACCATTGCTTATCATAATTATAGACTTAGCATGCTTGCTCTATTAACTTAATACCCAAAGGTAGATCAGAGTAACAAAGAGAAAATGCATTTCCACTTTGTAACCAGTTGTGCACCTCACTCTAAAGGAACCACTGACCTTGGGGCCACATATTTCAAAATTTTGCAAATTTTATCATAAAATGGTTGATTAATATCAAAGAGCAGATTTCAAAACATTAATTTATTTTCAGACTAACTCCCCCCCCCCCTTCCACCCCTGACCCAGGAGGGGAGGGGGGATAAAAAATAACCATTTTGCTAGATGCACCTTTCTTCATCATAAATATATATTCTTTTATATATTCTTTTTATAATTTATATTCATTGGCATAAAACCCAGGAGCAAAAGAAAGATTTTCAAAGAATTAATGTATTTTCACTATATAATCAATAGAGCCCCCCCCCCCTAACACCAGAACCCCTGACCCAGGGGCCATAAAATTCACAATTTGGAAGAGGCACTCTTGCTTATCATAACTATATACTTAATTAGTTTATTTAATACCCAGGAGCAGAGAAGAAGATTTTTCAAAGAATTAATGCATTTTCACTATATGATCAATAGAGCCCTGCCCTTAAACCAGAACCCCTGACCCTGGGGCCATAAAATTCACAATTTTGGAAGAGGCACTCTTGCTCAACATAATTATGTACTTACATAGTTTATTTAATACCCTGGAGCAGAGAAGAAGGTTTTCAAAGAATTAATGCATTTTCACTATATGATCAATAGGGCCCCGCCCTAATACCAGAACCCCTGACCCTGCGGCCATAAAATTCACAATTTTGGAAGAGGCACTCTTGCTCAACAAATTATGTACTTACCTTGTTTTTTTAATACCCTGGAGCAGAGAAGAAGGTTTTCAAAGAATTAATGCATTTTCACTATATAATCAATAGGGCCCCGCCCTAACACCAGAACCCCTGACCCTGGGGCCATAAAATTCACAATTTTGAAAGAGGCACTCTTGCTCAACATAAGTATGTACTTAGATAGTTTATTTAATACCCAGAAGCAGAGAAGAAGATTTTCAAAGAATTAATGCATTTTCACTATATGATCAATAGAGCCCCACCCTAAGACCAGAACCCCTGACCCTGGGGCCATAAAATTCACAATTTTGGAAGAGGCACTCTTGCTCATCATAACTATGTACTTAGTTAGTTTACTTAATACCCTGGAGCAGAGAAGAAGATTTTCAAAGAAATCATGCATCTTCACTATATAATCTATATAGCCCCACCCTAGCACTAGAACCCCTGACCCTGGGGCCATGAATTTCACAATTTTGGTAGAGGACTCAATGCTCATTACATTCATGCCACAGTTTGCCTGCTTGACGTCCAGGAGTAAAGAAGAAGATTTTTAAAGATTGCAATAATTTTAGTGGTTTTGGTCCCACCCCTCAGGCCTTAGGGGGGCGGGGACCATAAAATTCACAAATTTTGTTCCTCTTCACCCATAGATGCTGTATACCAAATTTGGTAGAAACTGGTTCAGCGGTTTCAGAGAAGAAGCTGAAAATGTTCAAATGTTAACACACGACGCACGACACACGATGACGGACGAAAACGGATAGCATTAGGTCACCTGAGTTACTCAGGTGACCTAAAAATATGAACAAGAAAACAATTTCTTATCATGTTGTGCTATGCACATTTGATCTCAGGTCTTAAGATTGCTTTTATCTGACTTGCACAAAAGTTGGGGGGTGTAAAAAAGTATGAAGCCTTTCAGGTATGGAACTCCTTACATGGAGTACCCACATTTGTGAATAAAATACTTTTAAATCAAACAATCTTAAGTTTTACTTTTTATTCATGTCTCTTTATAAACAATCTACAATACTACCAACCCCATTCCGAAATTCTATATCCTTCCCAAAATTTGCTGAAATCATTTCTAAAATTGACTTTTTCTTATTATCATTAAAGATAATTATCATAGTATAGTCTACTTCTGTGCCAAATTAATTAGAAGGAGGAAAGTATTTCACAGAATTTTCTATTCTTAGTAACCATGGCAACATTGTTTATGAAAATTGGAAATCAATAAATAGAATTATGTGTCTTAATTAGTGTAGTCTACTAGTGTGTCAAGTAATACTGAAATCACGCAGACCTTAACTGTAGGAGGAGTATGTTTTTAAAAGTATTTCATAGAAATATCTATATTTTTAGTAACCATAGCAACATTGTTCACTGAAATAAAATATGGATAAACACTCAGAATCATGTAACTTAATGTAGTCAATTTGTGTGCCTAGTAATACTGAAATCAGATAAAAACTGTAGGAGTAGCATTTTTAAAAACTGCTTACAGATTGGCGGACAACTGAAACAGGACTTTTATTGAAAAGAGCAATGTCATATTGTCATTTACTAATTCATTCGTAACTTGTATCTTTTCCTTATTATTGTCATAATTTCATACTTGTCTGAGCTCTAAATTAGAAATTGGAGGTACTCTGAGCACTAAGCTCACTAGCTGCAATAATGTAGCCCTTTTTTGTTTATTTTGGGAGAGGGCTACAACTCCTTAGGATCTCCGCAATGGTGCAGCTGCGGTAGCGATTCGCTCCCGCACGGATTTCGGCTCAAATTGTCAGTAGATAGCTATTTTATTAACATTTCTTACCTAGACTCCAAAAATGTAGTTATCCAAGACATAAATCAATCCAAAAATATACAGAACGATCCATATATCGGTTATTTTTCATGTATGTCAACATCACAACTTGAATTTATCTGCCATGTTTACTGAGCTTGATAGATTGTATTTTGGGACAGCCAATGAGAATTTAGGTTCTATAGGAGCAGATCTTTTAGGAATTCCCTTATACCCTGGTATTAAGCATAAATATCGCTGTTCGCATAAAAATAACACTTGAAATGGTTTTATTTATCGATGTTTTTGTGATACAATTCAGCACAATTAATCATAAACACTGACATTTGCTTTATTAAGTTGTTCTAAATTTCAAGTGAAAGTCTCAGTACGCCACACGTGAACTGTCATGGCTGCTGAGTAGACCAACTGGTACACATGCAGAGTTATTTTACATCAAGTTTTTCGCATTTAACGGGCTTTGTTGTTGACAGTGAATAAAAATTTCATCGTACTAGAAGTAAGTTGAATGTAAAAACAATTTACTTTACCTGCAGTCGCCCGTATTTAAAAAAAATATTTGCACAATTACAGAGATGCTGAGGAATTGTAGCCCTCTCCAGAAAACATCAGATTAAAAAATCGGAGAGGGTTACATTATTGCAGCTATAAGCTCACTAAATGATACCCCCTCCTCCCATATGTTTTGCTCTGGGAGCCATGACAAAATAAGTCAAGTGTCAGATCAAAACGTGAAATAGGGATGCACAATGGCATTATATTGTAATAAAGAATCTGTGAAAGATCATTCAATTTTATTCTGTGGTATGGGAGGAAATGGTTCCCTTCAATATTATAGAAATAAAGGCAGTGTCCATGTTTTACTTCAAGAAATCAAAATTAATTTGTGTCAGATCAAAAAGTATAGTAAGGCCCCAAAAAATTAATAAATTGTTTCTCAGGCACCGCCGCATCAGTTCAAAAACGGCCGCATTGATCAATTTTATTGACATTTTGAAAAGGGAAATAACTCAATTTTCTATTTTTCCAAGTTGAAAAAGAAAATCGAGTTATTGCCCTTTTCATAAATGCTAAAATAGACATTTTTACTTAGAAAAACAATATCTTTATTCAAATCCACAGTATTTTATAATTTAACTTTAAAATAAATGTTTGGAATAACATTATTTAAAGTTGAATACATATTATAATTAATTTCAGAGAACAAAACTTAAGAATTAGTAGATATCATTTTATTGAACAAATGACTTTAAAAAAAAGGTGTATACTAAATCCTGCTTCAAAAAAAAAAAAAAAAAAAAAGCCTGTCTGTCGCATTGAATTTTGTTTTTTTTGGCCTGAGAAACAATTGATTAACTTTTTTTTGGCCTAATAGGAGATGTACAATGCCTTATGTAACAAAGATTCTGTGAAAATCTCATTTAATATCATTCATTGGTATAAGAGTTGTGGATCATAACAGATGTGTATTCTCTTTAGAGAAGTGGACAGGCGTTCGCCTACATCCATGCGAAATCCTGTTCACTGTAGGCGAAAGCCTGTCCACTTCTCTAAAGAGAATAAACAGATGTGCACCCCGAAGGGTAACAGACAGACGGACATCCCAATCATGTACCCTCTCACTTTTCCAGGGGTATAATAAATGTTCTGTTCTATAGACAACTGATATATACAGCTAGCTAGACAGATGGACGAACAAAAAACATCTAATTATTATTACATAAGCTCTTCTGGTCTCTGATCTGTGGAGCTTTATTAAACTCTTAACCCTGCCTCCAAGTCCTTTCCAACTAAGAAAATAGAATCGGCCTACACAAGATCTACAATCTTGCAATTAATGAATGAAATCTACCTATTTATAAAAGCTATTTCCTAATTTTGACACTGGCTCACTTTAGGGTGCTTGTCCATGTTGACAGTTGTGCGCAAGTTGCTAGTTTGCAAGTTCTATGCAAATCAAAATTATCTAAAGTTATGCATAAATTAGGTCATAAATTGATTGGCTTTAGGGGATTAAAAAGATGCAATATTACATTATTACGTTAATGCTTATCCCATGTACATTCTTACTTTCTTTCTCTTTTATCTGTGAAATAAACAGAATATTTTTGTTTTCTGGCGGTCTTTTTCTCAAATTGGACTAAATATTAATATTCGTATTTATTTGGAAATATTTAACAACCAAGAATTATTTAAGATAAACATTTCAACTTCTACACATACTTGAATGATATTTTATGTTCTAAAGTCTTTGTCACACTTTTCAATACTTTATTTAAAACAAACTTAACATGGAAATTATAAACGTTTTATTTCTATCATTACTCTTTATCCGAATATTTATATTTTAGTTAATTTGGACCATTTTAGGAAAGCGGTAAATCTAGTAATGCTGTGTCCCGACTCTCTCGGATAAATGTTTTTCTGTGATTTTCTCCGCATCGCTAAACAGATTCGGTTCACACTAACCACACAAGAGGCACACGGGTCTTAATAGTCACCTGAGTATAATGCATTAATGTTAAGGGTGAATATGGTCTAAAAGTATTCGAATCTGAAGTTGGAATAAAATAAGATGATAGATAGATTGATTGATTGATTGATTGTGTTGTAACGGGAGAGGAGAAAATGCAGCGGAACAGACCGGGATTCGAACCCGGGCCCCCTGAAACTCCGGTCAGGTGCTCTACCATCTGAGCTATCTGGCTACCGGCGATCGAACCCGACTGACCGCCACATTCCTCCCTCCTTAAAGGTCTTTGGCCCTCCAAAGACCCCAACCCAGGCTCATCCCTGGCAGGTCTTTCACCTGTCAATTCCAGGGCATGGCACGGCACCAAATGTAACGGGAGAGGAGAAAATGCAGCGGACCAGACCGGGATTCGAACCCCGGCCCCCTGAAACTCCGGTCAGGTGCTCTACCAACTGAGCTATCTGGCCACCGGCGATCGAACCCGGCTGACCCCCACAGTGTGTTCATGTTGTTTAACGTCCCTCTCGAGAATTTTTCACTCATATGGAGACGCTAACACTTGCCGGTGGAGAGCTGCAAATTTTGTCCTATACTCTGCAGTCAGGGCCATTGAGCATTAAACTCTTTCTATTCATTGTCAGCAACATAAAACGCATCCTTCGTTTAAAATAAGGAAAATAAATCTGCATGTTTAAAAGTTGTTCTCTACCGCAGTTCTCGCTTGATATACTAGCTGAGATTTTCAGTTGAGATTTATGATAACTTGATAAAACAAATGTCGATACTGATAACTGAAAATTTTGGTGTATGGTACATGTATCACTTAAACATCGATAAATAAAACCATTCGATGTGGTAAGTTCCAATTTTTCCTCGATATAAATTGGAGTTCCTAGATAGATCAATCTAATTAAAATTAGATGTCAGATCCGCTCGCATACTCGCTACACTAACAGTGTAGTGAGTTTGCGAGCGGATCTAGCACCTAACTTTCATTAGATTGTAGATAGATTCGCTTCATAGATCCTGAATTCTCATTGGCTGAACAACACATCAGTAAACATGGCGGATAAATTCAAGTCAATAGGTGATGTTGACATACACAAATAAATAAATAAATAAAAAATAATAACCGATGTATGGATTGTTCTGTAAATTCTTATCGATTTATTATGTTTTGCATAACAACATTTTTTGAATTTTAATAGAATAGCCTTTTCGGATCATTTGAGCCAAAATCTTTGCGAGACTGAATCACTCCCGCAGTTGCACAATTGCGGAGATCCTAGAGAGTTGTGCCCCCCCCCCCTCCCCCAAAGGGAAGGACTAAATTATTCCAGAGCTCTGTCCCCATAAGGACACAACACACCAATAGTTGTTGAACAAGAGTCTTCCTTGAACGTGTACAAACTATCTCACCCTATACAAGGACGTAGTACATGTATTCTTGTCCTATTTTTTCTTAATCTAGGCCTATTATTTTCACGTCATCCCAACGATTTAAAATCGTGAAAATATTTCTTGCATATTTATTTATATTTTATATTAAAAAAAAAAGCTTGTATAGTTCTGTTATTCAAGCTGTACAGTGATAAATTACATGTATCACGTGAGTGAATAGAAAAAGGGGTGATTTCTTTTATTTAAACATACAATAAATAGATAGCTCAAGTGATGCAGGGTTGAAAAAATCTAATAAAAATATCTTTGCTTAAGGTATTTCCACCCTAGTGTGATGTCATGGTTTTTGCATAAACCATTATTAATTCAATTTGAAATAATGCTTTTAACATGTATAAAGAAAAATATTGTTTAGATATAAATAGTTTATATAAATATTAAATAAATAGAATGAATATTTCATTTTTTCAATTAAGTATTCAATCTGTGAAAAATGTACACATGGGCAATGACTCCTCCTCGTGTGCATTTATCTTCATTCAGGAAATTTCTTTATCGTGCTTCTAAAATAGAATGTTTTACTTGCATGATATTCATAATTCAAGCATATTTATAAAGAAACAATTATTTTGGAACTTTCAGAATCAGGTGTATATTTTAACTGGATTTTACATCATTATTTTGGAACTTTTTTATTTAACTTCATTAAATGTACATATTACTTTTTATGCAGAAATATACTTTTGTTTATGTAGTAGGTCCTACATCTTTTAAAAAAATATATATATGGCAACCTATACATTTTTGACAATAATTTATTAATTCAAACTGTTTTTAATGAAAATAAATGCAGATTTTCTACTTTAAACCGATGAAATTATGAGAGTGGATCGTGGACCTAAAGCTTTAGGTCATTGGGTGGATGTACCTTTATCATAGTCGGGAGTCGACGGTCCTAGATTTACCGCGTGTCTAAAGCTAGTAAATCTAGATCTAACGAATCCCGATTCGCTGGTAATAATATCGCTGGACAGAATCACTTCATATTGGATAATGTGAATAAAGTTTAACACAGATAATGTTCTTGAAAATAATGAACTTAATTTGGTAAGCTATACGGAGAATGCAAACGGAAAATATTAATCCAAAGAGAGTCGTAATTCAGAAGTCCTAGATTTACCGCCTGTTTCGGAAAAAAGAAAATGGCTATGATTCGAGGGTAAGTTGTAAATTTTGTGCATTTTAATATTGACAGTTTATTTTCTTTAACATGATCATCACTAGTACTTTTGTAAACTAATAAATAATTGTTAAATAGTAGCATAATTAGTCACTGACTCTATTTCTTTAATTATTTATGAATACACTTTCATCAAACCACTTCTGATTGACCTTGTTACCTAACTTTTAACCATGATACTGTATAAGAAGTTATTGGTACTGCGTAAAAGATGCACATCAGAAAATTTGAGGAAAAAAAATTTATCAACAATATTAGTGGAGTATGAATGATTAGTGTGGAATCTTGAAAGGAATAGAAGGAAGATATACTTGATAATGTAAAGAATTTGCTTTAAATTTCCTTGTACAACAGGTACAGAGCACCAATAAAAACTTTATTTTTGAAAACGTGTACTTTATTTACAAACTTACAAACTATAGTTCAAAAACCAACTTCTTCACACACACCCACACAAACTCCCACACAAACAATTAACATAGCTGCAGATCTGTAGCTCGCTGGTCTGAAAAAATTGGGATGGATGCACCAGAAAGCTACAGTGCTTTGCGGTATACTGCATCCCCCATGGCCAAATTAAAAATACTGAAAATAATTTGCAGGCTTAAAGGGGGCAAAAATTTCCTACTGCCGCAGAACACACCTGTTAAACATATAAACTTGCATTAAAAATCGATATTATGTCCACCAAAAAATCAAATATGACTCCGGGAACATAGGAATTATTTCATGTTCATTGACTGAGGAAAATGCCCCTTGTACATTTCATACTGATATCTGTCAATTTTTCTTGCAGTTTTGGGAAGGGCACTACCCTGTTGAGCAATAATGCTGCTCTTCTGTCAAGGTAAGCTATCATTTACATGCTCTATAATCATGATAATAAATATGTTATTTTCCCTCTTGATACTAGAAATACATATGTGTCTTAATTTCTCTCATGGTATTCAGATACTGTAAATTCCTAAATATACGCGTGGAATTAATTATTGCGCAATTTTGCGAGAAGCATCACATGTGAAATAAAATTACTCGCCTTCATTTTTGTGGTGCTGAAATCTATGTAAAATATCTTGATCAACCGTCCATTCGCGAATCATTATTCTCGTGATTTGGCATTGAAGAGTCCATTCGCGATAATAAGTACTTCCCAAAAATAAGGAATCTATAGTATAAACTATTAAAATGAAATCAGCATGTCAAATATTCCTTTGATTATTTATAAACACAAAACAAGGATGAGCTCAATGTAAAGGTCACTTATCAGCTTATCTTAATGGTTTCCAAATCAATCATGTTTACAGATGTAGCAAACCTATCGATTCTTTATGGCAAGTTTATTCCTAAATCTGCATTTGACCAATCTTTTCATAATGGTTCCATTGATTCAGATTTTTTGCAAGGTTAAAGCCACATTCTCACTTCTGTACTAAACTTGGTATCAAACTAAACTTGAGGATGTGATGCATCTTTGCCAGTTTGGATATTTAATATAGGGAGGGTATGTTGCAATTGATGCATGCATATAGGATAATGTTTTAATCTTATGAATTCATCAGAACTTCAGGTAAAGTGCATATTTGCAGAAATATGCATTGAATTTTACGAAATACGCATTGAAAATTAAAATAGGGCATATAAATACACATTAGCAATCATAGATAAGCATTACACCACGAAAGTACTGCGTACATCAGGTTGAAAAATAGAAGTACGACCTACTTAATGATATGAATCGAGGTTAACTCAGTCTTTGATTTTTCTCAAAACGAAGTACAGATTGAAAAGCCCTTAAGCGACCAGGAATATTCTAGTAATGGCGACGTCGATCTCCATTTTGGGAGGAAGAATCAGAGATTTAGATTAAAATCAATTTTTTATCGTGTTCATAGCCAATTTTTCATTTCTCTCAACTTGCCATATTAACGAAGATTCTTTTCTCTCAGTTTACTCTTGATACCATATCATCTTAAATGGAGGAAAAGTTTCTGTGCCTCTGACTCTGTGGTACCTTGACCTACTGTATTATCTTCCTTGTCAAAAAAGAATACTTCCCAATTTTAGCAAAAAGTCTTGTTGGTATTTTCAAAATTTATTTAAATAAATGCAGGAACTGACTTTTGTAGCTTTTTCCCTCTTGAGAAATACTTATTTTTCGATTACAAGCTCAAAATCAATGTCAAAACATTTATATATAAACAAAATACTCTTCAATCATTTTGCTGATAATCAAAATCTGCATTGATTTGAAGATCATGGAGTAAATACACTTTGGGGTAAAAAATTATCTGGAGCTCTACTTCATTAAAGTACAAGTTTAAAGCCAGCTTTGAGATAATTTGCTGATTTATCTCAGTGGATGAATTTAAACTGAATTTTCAGATATTGTGCACCTTGTTCAAGCATGCTAGAGGTTCTCGGTAACTTTAATGTACTTTTGACTTGTAGCTCAGGTATAGAAGCAGTTTGGGGATGTTTACCAAGACTCTTACTTGAAGAAGTAGTGTGCATCTTTAAATGCTTCATATGAAGCATATTTCAGATGCGCCATGCTTCATCTTCAATTCAAGTTTAGCTCTCAAGTTTTCAAACCAAACTTGCACAGTTGATGTATCTATGGATTTTTAGTTTGTTGTATACCCCGGTACTTCAAAACTATACTGTACATTATCTGCATTTTATGGGTGATTATATTTTTTTACCCATAAGGTCTTATTCTAGCTGACATGTATCTTTAATTGTTTTCAAAGCAGCTTACCAAAGGTTTTTATGCCCCCCTTCGAAGAAGGGAGGGCATATTGCTTTGCTGCTGTCGGTCGGTAGGTCTGTCGGTCTGTCGGTCCATTTAGTTTCCGTTCATTTTCTTCATAACCATTGCACATACTGAAATGAAATTTGGTATACAGGTATATCAGATAAATATCTAGGTCAAGTTCTGTTTTGGGTATGATCGCACCATAATTGACAGAGTTATGCCCCTTGGACTTAGAAAAATTCCATATTTTTGCAGTTTCCGTTCATTTTCTTTGGAGAGGTTGCACATATTGAAATGGAATTTAGTATACAGGTATATCAGATGAATTTCTAGGTCAAGTTCTGTTTTGGGTATGATTGCATGATAATTGACAGAGTTATACCCCTTGGACTTAGAAAAATTCCAATTATTTGCAGTTTCTGTTCATTTCTTTGGAGAGGTTGCACAAATTGAAATGGAATTTAGTATACAGATTATTCAGATGAATATCTAGGACAAGTTCTGTTTAGGATACGCTTGCACCTTAATTGACAGAGTTATGCCCCTTGGACTTAGAAAAATTCCATATTTTTGCAGTTTCCGTTCATCTTCTTTGGAGAGATTTCACATATATATATTGAAATGGAATTTTGTATACAGATTATTCAGATGAATATCTAGATCAAGTTCTGTTTTGGGTATGATCACACCATAATTGACAGAGTTTGGACTTAGAAAATTTGGACTCCCCTTGGACTTAGAAAAATTCCAATAATTTGCAGTTTCCATTTTCTTTTGAGAGGTTGCACATATTGAAATGGAATTAAGTATACAAATTAGTCAGATGAATATCTAGGTCAACTTATCAGTTATGTTTTGGGTATGATCACACCATTTTTGACAGAGTTATGCCCTTTTTGACTTAAAAAAAAACAATTTGTGGGGGAGGGGGGCATAAGTGTTTTACAAACATCTCTTGTTACTGAATGGTTAGAGCATTTCAACTGTATTCAACATGTTTTTAACTATACCTTGCATATTGGAATCAGGTTCTGATGAAGATTTTTAAAAAATTTTATCATTGAGTAGAGAAAAACAGAACTTAGACTTGATCTTAGCTAATCCAAATGGCACATAATGAATATCTGCATACTTTTGTATTGATCACCATGCTTTAGTTTTCTTTAGACAATAGTTAGTCCTATCAATAAGTTTTGGTTTGTTTCTATAGACTACAGCCAGTAGTAACTCAGATGTCCCTCACCAGCACCAAGGCCGAGACACAGGACATTGCCTACAAGGAAATGGAGGAATTCTGGGAGAAAAATAGACGTCTTAACAGACCACTCTCACCTCATCTTAGAATCTACAAGTAAGTCACACCTGGTACTGTGAAAGCTGTGATTCAATAGTTATGGCATGCAGCTCAGCTTAAACTCAATCAAGCTTTACTGACTGAAATGTGTCCATTTCTGCTTGTCATCCCTTGGTCTTTATGACATTGCTCATTGTCTTACATTGAATATGGCCGGGGCATATAGCGTTTGTCATGTCCGTCTTCCGTCCTTCCGTCACACTTTGCGTTTAGCTCTGTTCAAAGCTAAGTTTCAAAGAAACTCTCCAAGATATTTTCATCAAACTTCATATGCTGATAGATATTGATGAGAGCTATGCAACTGCATCAACATTTTTTGACCTTGGCCTTTCCTTTGACCTTGACCTCACTTTTCTTAAATTAGTGTTTAGCTCAGTTTTAAACATACCATTCAAGATGGTGTTATCAAACTTCACGTGTTGATACAAATTTGCACAGATGATGCATCTAGGGATGAACACTACAAGACTTGCTTCGGATGCTGGATCTGACCTACATTTTCCAGATGAGTGACCAGGTTAAAGTTTTTGGAGCAGGTTCATTCCTACTGAACTATAAGCCCTACTTGGACCAAACTTGCATGGATGATGCATCTAAGGATGGATACTACCAGACTTGCTTCGGATGCTGGATCTGACCTACATTTTCCAGATGAGTGACCAGGTTAAAGTTTTTGGAGCAGGTCCATTTCCAAGGAACTATAAGCCCTACCCAAACCAAACTTGCACGGATGATGCATCTAGGGATGGACACTACCAGACTTGCTTCGGATGCTGGATCTGACCTACATTTTCATTCCCAAGTAACTATAAGCCCTGCCTGAACCAAAATTGCATGGATGATGCATCTAGGGATGGACACTACCAGACTTGCTTCGGATGCTGGATCTGACCCACATTTTCATTCCCTAGTAACTATAAGCCCTGCCTGAACCAAACTTGCATGGATGATGCATCAAGGGATGGACACTACCAGACTTGCTCCGGATGCTGGATCTAACATACATTTTCATTCCCTAGTAACTATAAGCCCTACCTGAACCAAACTTTCATGGATGATGCATCTAGGGATGGACACTACCAGACTTGCTTCGGATGCTGGATCTGACTTATATTTTCATTCCCAAGTACCTATAAGCCCTACCTGAAGCAAACTTGCATGGATGATGCATCTAGGGATGTACGCTACCAGACTTGCTTCGGATGCTGGATCTGACCTATATTTTCATTCCCAAGTAACTATAAGCCCTACCTGAACGAAACTTGCATGGATGATGCATCTAGGGATGGACACTACCAAACTTGCTTCGGATGCTGGATCTGACCTACATTTTTAGCTCACCTCAACGAAGTTGGGGGGAGCTTATGTGATACCCTCGGCGTCAGCGTCGGTGTCGGCGTCGGCGTCCCAGGTTAAGGTTAAGTTTTTTGGAGCAGTTTTCTTTTTAATTACTTCTGTGTCCTATATTGATTAGACATGCATGGAAGATGGTTCTAGTGTGTTTCATTGTACCAGTCAAAGTTTCAGATGCTGCAATTTCAGCAAAGGAATTACCAGGTTAATATTTTTGGAGCAGGTTAACATTTTTGGTGCAGTTTTTGGTGTGGGTTTCATTTCCAAGTAACTATAAGCCCTATGTTGACCAAACTTGCATGGATGATACATCTAAGGATGCATACTACTGGGCTTGCTTCGGATGCTGAATCTGACCTACATTTTCCGGTTGAGTGAACAGGTTAAAGTTTTTGGTGTAGGTTTCATTTCCAAGTAACTATAAGCCCTATGTTGACCAAACTTGCATGGATGATACATCTAAGGATGCATACTACCGGGCTTGCTTCGGATGCTGAATCTGACCTACATTTTCCGGATGAGTGAACAGGTTAAAGTTTTTGGTGCAGGTTTCATTTCCAAGTAACTATAAGCCCTATGTTGACCAAACTTGCATGGATGATACATCTAAGGATGCATACTACCGGGCTTGCTTCAGATGCTGAATCTGACCTACATTTTCCAGTTGAGCGAACAGGTTAATGTTTTTGGTGCAGGTTTCATTTCCAAGTAATTTTAAGCCCTATGTTGACCAAACTTGCATGGATGATACATCTAAGGATGCATACTACCGGGCTTGCTTCGGATGCTGAATCTGACCTACATCTTCCAGTTGAGTGAACAGGTTAAAGTTTTTGGTGCAGGTTTCATTTCCAAGTAACTATGAGCCCTATATTGACCAAACTTGCATGGATGATACATCTAAGGATGCATACTACCGGGCTTGCTTCGGATGCTGAATCTGACCTACATTTTCTGGTTGAGTGAACAGGTTAAAGTTTTTGGTGCAGGTTTCATTTCCAAGTAACTATGAGCCCTATATTGACCAAACTTGCATGGATGATACATCTAAGGATGCATACTACCGGGCTTGCTTCGGATGCTGAATCTGACCTACATCTTCCAGTTGAGTGAACAGGTTAAAGTTTTTGGTGCAGGTTTCATTTCCAAGTAACTATAAGCCCTATGTTGACCAAACTTGCATGGATGATACATCTAAGGATGCATACAACCGGGCTTGCTTCGGATGCTGAATCTGACCTACATTTTCCAGTTGAGCGAACAGGTTAATGTTTTTGGTGCAGGTTTCATTTGCAAGTAACTTTAAGCCCTATGTTGACCAAACTTGCATGGATGATACATCTAAGGATGCACACTACCAGGCTTGCTTCGGTTGCTGAATCTGACCTACATTTTCCGGTTGAGTGAATAGTTAAAAGTTTTTGGTGCAGGTTTCATTTCCAAGGAACTATGAGCTCTTTAATGACCAATCTTGCATAGATGATACATCTAAGGATGCATACTTCCAGGCTTGCTTCGGATGCTGAATCTGACCTACTTTTTGTGGATGAGTGAAAATGTTAGTTTTGATGCATGTTTCATTTCCAATGAACATTTCCAATAAACTATGAGCCCTATAATGAGCAAACTTGCATGGATGATACATCTAAGGATGCACACTAATGGACTTGCTTCGGATGCTGAATTGGACATACATTTTTCAGATAATAGACAAGGTAAAAGTTATGGTTGCAGGTCTATTACCAAAAACTATAAGGCTTATATAACATTGTATAAACCAAACTTGCACAAATGCTGCATCAAGAGATGAAAACTCTCAAATTTGCTTCAGATGCTGGATTTTCATTACATTTTCATGAAGAAGAAGTAGTTTAAATTTTTTATGTAGGTCTATTTCAAAGTATCAGATCAAAATTGCTTTTAAAAATATTTTCATTTTTGGAATGTATACTTTTTGTTGGTTAATTGTGTGACTTTGCCTTACTTAAAGACAACATTCGTTGAGGTGAGCTCTGTAATCTCTTATTACCTATGTTTATTCCCTACTAACTATAAGCCCTACCTGAACCAAACTGATCAAATTTTATTCACATATAAATTTTCATGTTGCTTTACTAATATATCCTCGGCGGGGCATTCATGTCCTATGGACATATTTCTAGTTTTTCCGTTGCTTAATCTCTTAGATCTCTTACTCTTGGACTATTTCATGATTTAACTTATAAGAAAGAATGATTTGGTCAGTGAAGCTAATGATAAAAAGGTCTTTTGATCCCTCAAGTAGATTGCTGGACAAATTATTTTACAGTACATGTATTTGGTTTTGTTTATTTTTGCAGACTGGCCTTTCTCCTCTTTGCCCTTTTAACTGTTGTTTTGAGTATTAAAGTGTATTTAGGGATGAACTACTAGAAATAACAATTAGTTACATTAAAGAATGACACAACCTAAGGCCACACCAATTTGTAACATAGTTCTTCGGATTTTCAAAAATAAAAAGAGAGGCGAGCGAGCGAAAATATTTTACAAATATTTATTTTTTCAGTTTTCAAAATTATGAGGCGAGCGAATATAATTAATATTAGTGGCCAAAATTTCTAAGTTCTTCTATTATGAGTACACAGGGGTGTGCAATTGAGAAAAAAATCTCCTTAATAGCCCCTAGTAAAAAGTTACTTACCCAAACAGAGGGGCAAAAATTAAAATAAATACTAATCTGGAGAAGAAATTAATTGCTGAAAAAGTCAGGGTACTGGGGTCATTCTTTTTAAAATTAAAGTTAAAAGTTCTCACTATCAATATTAATCATGCATAAATTGTTATGAAAAAAAAAAATTAAATTAATTTAAATGAATTATCTTCCCTTTTTCTTGATCATTGCACTAGCTCATTTAGAATAAAATCAAAATCATTTTGTTTTCGTCTCAAATCATTAAATACACTGGAAATATATTTTATGTGAGTCATAAAACACTTATCTTTCAGTTCATTGGATATCCGATAATCGTAAATAATTTAATGAGATATCTGCATGTATTTACCATAAATGGAGGAATAGACGAAATTCGGATTAGGAAAAAACGATCGTTTTTGGAAGTAATTAAGTCAGATAGAACTACAAAACAGATAAGATTATGAAGATTTATTGACAATATAGGAGCACGTTGTCTGGAAAATTTTAACTGGTTGGGAATTTTATAATAAATACAAGTGAAAATACCGATTGTTCTTGTCATTGTTGCATTGCGTGTGTAATTATGTTTTTTACTAGCCCTACGTGCTACCTCCTTGCAGAAAACACCTAGCCTGATCCCAGAAAATGGTAGCCCCGGTTGTTTGGATATGCTAATTGCTCACCCCTAGTACACACAAACAGTTACACGAGCGTCTTGCAAAACTTCACAGACTGCTAAAAAGTACAAACAAACACTAAATCCCGCGCTTCTGTCATACAAATTTCCAAGTCTTCTATGTGTTTTGTGTAAAAAGTCGAGAAAAAAAAATTGAAATCGGATATTTTTGGACGCGCGCGCGAAATTTATTTTTTTAATATTAGAATTTGGATTTGTTAAAAATAGAAGCGGCGAATCCGACGAACTATATTAGAAATTGGTATGGCCTAATATTGGTGATAAATTGATAATGGCCAACACTCCCTGAAGTAGACAGAACTTTTCACAGATGGTGTGGCTTTAGTTTAATGTTAAAAGAATCCAAAACATGCTATATGGCAGCAGCTTCAGATGAAAGCAAACTATTTGTGGTAGACTGAATCTCAGTGCCATATATTTTAATGTCATAGACAATGCTTCCTGGCTTTCATTATACCCCACACAACAAGTTGCGTGAGGTTACTGAAGTATAATGTTTTTGACCATACCTTGAATATAGAGATATTTAGGAAACAATGTGTAGATGTGCATATAACCCGGAAATTCCGATTTCTTTATTTTTTCCGGAGTTTTCAGCACTTTGAGTTTTGGGGGAGCTTGGGGTGTGTGAGCTTGCTCACTTTTTCTTTCATTATTAGATAAAAACCATTAAAAGGGCAGTTTATGTGTAAGATGAATCAGAACAGAAAGGAAAGATTCTGTAATTGTGATCTTTCTAAGTGAAAAGTTCAGATTTAACTTCATCAATAGGATAAAGTCATGTCATACAAATTATTTAGATAATAATTAAATATTTTTTTCCTTCCAATGGTAAATATACATATACATGTAGTTCAAGGCACTGCATTAAGAAGTCTTTTCACATTAGGTCAGGAAGCTAGTTTGCATCATCAGTAGTGGCCTAGAGGTCCAGAATACTGTGTCAAGAATTTGAAGCAATTTCTTTAAGGTTCATTTCAAATGAACGTGCCTTGATTCTCACACTGAAGTTGTCAATTCAAGTTTTAAAGTGACTCTTGTGGCATATTAACTGTTTGTTAAATTCATGAATTTGATGCCTATTGTGAATTTATCTATTGCTTTGTTTCCATCTTGTAGTCCAGAGCTGACCTCCATGTTGTCACTGTGTCACAGAGCTACAGGAATAGCTATGGCTGTCAGTAAGTACAGTAAAGTTATAAAGGTTATAAATTTGTTAGCTGCATGACTTTCCTTAATGGCAGTGATGAACAGGATAAACTGTATTTGCAGATAACGTCTGTGCTAGGGAGACAAAAGCTTTGTTTAAGTTAAAACAATTTAAAATTGTGTAGGTGTTATTAATGTTTAAGGAAAAAAATGCCTAGATGTATAAAGTCAAATTTAATTTATCTAAAGAAAGTTTACCTTTGAAAAATGAAGTACAATCTTAAAATTTATATACTTTAAATATGATATACATTACATATGATTGCGGTAATTCATACTCATACAGTAGATATATTATGGTAATACTTTATACCAGACTACTTAAGATGTCAATGAATGTTCAAATGATTCCCTTAGGGAGAACAAACTGTGAAGTTCAGTATACAGATTTATGAATGACTCATGCAAAAAAAAAATATATATTGTGCAGTTTTGCTGTTGACGTAAAAAAAAAAAAAAAAAATAGAAAGTTTTGTAATGTTAATGACCAGCATGTAGTAAATTTGTTTTTGTTTTGTCAATGCAGCATGTAATTAATGTGGGAGTTTCTTGTATATTTCAGCTGTACCTGTAGTGGCTGCCACTCTCTTAGGTCTACCTGGGGATTTCCCTTCATATATCCAATATATCAAGGATCTGCAGCTCAACCCACTGCTCTTTACAGCAGCTAAATATGTGTTAGCTTTCCCTGTCTGTTATCATTACATAAATGGCATCAGACATCTTGTAAGTATCCTATTAGATTCTAAATATCAATATCAAAATTCATGTCTCACCTTGACCTCAAATTAGGGAGAGGGCTAAAGTAGGCTGAGCCTGCTCCCCAATCCTATTCATTTCTAGATCTGTGAAGAAAATATTGTTTAAAAGAAAAGAATCTAGAAGGTGTCAATCAGCACTTAGATTTGCCAATGCTTATGATTAGACAAGTAATGCTACAGTCTCATCAGAGATTTCCTTTTTTTTTTAAATGACAAATTATGCATGTACAGTTTGAAGAGGTTTCTAAAGTCAAAACTGATGTATTTGATTGGTTTTCGTTGTAAGAGTTGGACATGTATTGATCCAAAAATTTCAATTTTTCATGAAATCTTAAAAAAAACAACTACAAAAACCAAAAAATATTTCCATTATTTCTCCTTTCATAGGAAAAGATAATGCAATTGGAAAGAAAATCCTTGCATAGGAAAAAATAATGCATTTGAAAAGGAAAAAATTAGAAAAAAAGAAAACCAAAAATACTATGCATCAAATATTGAGAAGTTTGTGTATCATTAAAAGAAAAAGATTTAATAAGATTTTTTTTAAAAAAAAATCTTTTTTTGCAGGCTTGGGATTGGGCTATTGGATTCAGCTTGAAGGCCACCTACCAGTCTGGATACTTTGTGTTGGCCCTAGCTTTACTGGTATCAGCAGCATTTGTCCACCTCCTATAAAGAGCTTGTGAAAAGGAGAGACCTTTGACAGGGTGCCATAAACTTGCTGATTGGCTGTGCTTTATTGAATATATAGGCATAATCATTGATGTTTAAATCTCAGTGAGAGCATTTATGAGCAAACCTTGGAATAATTGTTGTTCAATTAACAATAACTGATTTTCTGTTGTTTATATTGTAATACAGTACAGGTCATTTATTATTGGTTTGTTCCCAAGTCTGAAAGATGTTTGCAAAAAAAAAATCAATATGTAGATATTTGAAATATTTTATCAAGATGAATACTAGCCGTAACACTCCAAGATCAGCAGTTAAAATAAATTTGCTTTCTTTATACTCATGCATACCTGTTTTGCAAGTAACTATTTCAGTGTTAACATTAGCATATTTTTAGTAAAATGAAAAATATAATGCTTTACCAGGAAGTATATTTACGTCTATGATTGTAGACACTGAACTACACTTGTTTTAATTTATTAAATCAAATTTTATACTGAAACAATTTTTATATGTTTTATGTACATGGATTGTAAAAAGAATGACAAAGTTCAAGAGAAAAGCTTTGATAATGCAGCATTCTGTTATGGTAATTCATATAGTACTGGTAGTACTGGTATATCTTTAAAGCAGCATTGTCTTGTATAACAAGAACAGCTAGAGTTCAGTTCAGAAGACAAATGCCAGCTTTTATAGACTGACCCTCCCCTTTCATATGAGTGTACAACTTACCGGTATATATTGGCTCAATTGAGCCTCAGTATCTTGAAACAATATTCATATGGTTGGAAAATGGAGGGTCAGCAAAATGTTTAGTGTCATGTAAATGGTAAAACTGTTACAGCTGGAACAATACAGGGAGGTAGGTACAGAGCAATCGGAACTCCTCCGATGTTTCGCGAACTCAACAATATTGTTGAGTTCTTGAAACATCCGAGGAGTTCCGATTGAGGTACAGAGGGGATCAAGTGGTTCTTACCTGAGTAGTGTCAGTCTTCCTAATTTTATATACATGTACTGTGAAATCACCAATTTTCCCGGGGGTTTAATTTCTGTCATTTTCATGGTATGAAGAGACCCACAAATTTGTCCACCATGAAATCATCCAAGAAAATTAAATCCCCACGGACTTATATTTTTCCTCAAACCAAGAAAAATTGACCCCTCAAAAATATATGTGATTTTACAGTACACTTTGAAATTCCCCTTAAATTTAAGGTACCCCAGTACTCCAAGCTCTGAGTTTATAAAACAACACCCTCTTTCACTCATAGTACTAGTATAATCGCAAAGTGGATGTAACCCCAAATATAGATATGATCTAAGTCAATTCCTTTCTGTAGGTGTTGATGTGCAACTTTCAAAACATGGAAGGTGAGTTAGAAGGAGTTGTGATATCAATGCAATATTACCTGGTATGTTTGATTTTAACATTAGCCCAATACAAATCTTGTATATTAAATTTTTAGATTAATGATCCAAGCAGCTATAAATTTGCAAGACATTTATTTCACATTGATACATTTTGCATAAAGGCATACTTTATATGCAGTGTTGAGTAAATTGCAAAATCATAAAACAACATACATTTATACATCTACATTTATAAATGTTGATATTTTTTAAGTAATAAATACAAAATTAACAACATAAATATTAAATATGTATGTGAACAACATGTATTAAACTTTTGTTTCCTTTTTACATATTTTTAATTACATATAATTACAAGAGATTCACACTGGCCCTACTGTTCTTTCAGAATAATGATCCCTTCCTACTCCCAGAGTCTATGATTTGAACATATGAATTCTTGAATTTACACAACCCGAGGATGCTTAAAAAATACTTATACATTTATCATGATCATGTTCTTCTTAACAAGAAATTTTTAAAAAGTTAAAGCTCAACTGGGCTGTAAGCTCAAGTCAGCTTTTCGAACCACACACATTTTAGACTTCTCATCATGCTCATAATCCACTGGATCAATTTTTACCAAAGTCTCCACAATCATTGGATTACAAAAAAAAAACTTTATGAAAGATTACTGACTTTGTAAAGAAATCAAAGTTTTACATTGAAATATTTAGGAAAAACTCTGCTCAAAAGGAATTTAATTGGGACTGAAAGCCTTAAGATGATGGTGTATATTCTAAATTGTTCTTGGCCAAGGAGAATATGAATGGCATGGGCCACTATAGGGGGTCAATGTTTTACATTTTTAAAAATACATATATATGGAATTTATTCAAACAAGAGGCCCATGGGCCACATCGCTCACCTAAATAGCTTTGACCATGCTGTTCTTTACCAGGATTCCCCCTTGTAATACCTTAAGTGACCCCACCCTACCCCAGGGGGTCATAACTTGGACAATTAAAAATCAACACTACCCCACGATGCTTTCACATAAGTTTCAGCTTTTCTGGCCCAATAGTTCCCCAGAAGAAGATTTTTAAAGATATTTCCTATATATTTCTATGTAAAACGTTGATTCCCAATTGTGGCCCCGCCCTTCCCCCGGGGGTCATGATTTTTACAATTTAGAATCTACACTATACCAGAATGCTCCCACATAAGTTTCAGCTTTTCTGGCCCAGTAGTTCTTGAAAAGATTTTTAAAGATTTTTCCTATAAATTTGATGTAAAACCTTGATTCCCTATTGTGGCCCTGTCCTACCCCAGGGGGTCATGATTTGAACAATTTAGAATCTACACTATACCAGGATGCTTCCACATAAGTTTCAGCTTTTCTGGCCCAGTGGTTCTTAAGAAGATTAAGATTTTTAAAGTTTTCTCCTTTATATTTCTATGTAAAATCCCTATTTTGGCCCCGCCCAACCCCCGGGGTTCATTATTTGCCAGATTTTAACAATTTAGAATCTAAACTACCCCAGGATGCCTCCACATAAGTTTAATTTTTTCTGGCCCAGTGGTTCTTGAGAAGAAGATTTTTTAATGATCCCACCCTTTTTTGTCTTTTCTTGATTACCCCCCTTGTGAAGGGACTTGGTCCTTCATTTAATTCAAACTCCCCTTCACCCAAGGATGCTTTGTACCAAGTTTGGTTAAAATTGTTTTGTGATTCATGAGGATATGTCGAAAATGTGAAAAGTTTATAGGCAGAAAGACGGACGGACACGGACAAATTGTGATCAAAAAAAGCTCACTTGAGCCTTCAGCTCAGATGAGCTAAAAACCTTTTTCTAAAAATTTATTTGAAAAAAAAAGAAAAATAGAGAATCTGCCAGATATAGTGTAGCTCTTAAATTATTTTTAAAAATCATGACCCCATTAAATGAGAGTTTACATGAGCTAAAGATAATTTGCTGGAAACAAACATTATAACATTTTAAAATACTAATGATTTAGTTCATAGTAGTTTGACACCTGATCTCCAGGTTGGGTATTTTCCTCAATGTCTGTTTTCTGTGTAGAATTTTCAGAATTATTTACTCCTGACAGATTGTCTTCCTCACCCTCATCATTGGACTCTAACTCTGATCCTTTATTTGTAGTTTCCTCATTAGATTTTCCTTCCTTCTTAACTGGAGACACATTTTTGCCTTCTCCTTTGAGGTTCCGAGCATGCCTCTCTGACTGGCAGTGCTTAGCATAGGACTGTTTGTAGTTGAATGTTTTATCACAGCACTCACAGTAAATCATCTCCTCTCCTGTGTGAATTTTCTTGTGTTGGTTGAGCTCTGAAACTTTGTAGAAACTTTTACCACACACATCACAGGTATGTGGCTTGAATCCCATATGTTTGTTCATGTGGTCCCTTAACTCCACTTGAAACAGAAACCCAGCATCACAGATTTTACAGAAATGATTTTTTACACCAGTGTGGATTGTCTCATGTCGTCTAAGATTGGATTTAAAGTGGAATTCTTTATTGCAGATTTTACAGTGAAACCTAATATTTTCATGAACTTTCCGTCTGTGCATTTTAAGTGATGCCTTGTCGATAAAACGGTCTTCACAGATTTCACATACATGGTTTTTCTCTCCTGTATGGGTTCGCATGTGTCTGTTGAACTCTCCTCGGCCAAAGTACTCCTTCAGACAAACAGCACACTGGAACTGTTTCTCCCCCGTGTGTCTTTTAACATGCTGTGTCAGGTGGCTCTTCATCATAAAACACTTTCCACACTGACCACACTTCCAAGGTTTATCTCCCTTGTGCTTTCTTTGGTGTACATATAAGTTGGAGATTTGGGCAAACTGAGCATCACACTGGTCACATTTATATGGTTTGTCCTCCCAGTGAATTCTCTCATGCATTTTTAGGCGATTTTTCTCAGGAAATTCCTTACCACATACATCACATACCCATGGTTTGTACCCGAGATGAACTTTTAAATGGCCTTTGAGATTGGCATTTTTATTGAACCCTTTGTTGCAGAATTCACATTTGAAGGGTCTATCATCAAGATGTGTCAACATATGCTGTTTCAGATTTGTTTTTGACACAAAGCCTTTCTTGCAAATTTTACAGAAATCACTCTTTTCACTGCTGTGGGTACGTATATGCTTACGTAACTGTGTACAGTCAATGAATGATTTCTCACACAGTGTACAGATATAAGGCTTTTCACCTGTGTGAGCTCTCTTGTGACGTTGCAGGTTTGAATTATGTTTGAAACTTCGTTCGCACAAATTGCACTGATATGGCCGATCTCCCAGATGTCCACGGACATGCATTTCCAAGTCGGAATATTTCAGAAACACCCTGCCACAGATGTTACAGCTGCAGGGTTTAGAAATGTCCACAGCTTCCTCTTGTTCCTCTTCTTGCGAGTTATTTTTATCTTTGTACAGACCCACAGGAAGTCTGGGGGCAGATAAACTTGGATCTTTTAATGGATTAGCCATTTCATCCTTTACGAAACCAATTTTATTTGTGAAATGTTCTTTGGGAAGTATTTGCACCAGTTCCTTTTTGATTTTTTTCTTCAAGAGTTTCTTTGTATTTTGGTTAACAGTCTGTGACTTCAATCCCCGTTGTCTGGTCCTTCTTTTCTTTGGTTTTATTTCCTCATCTTCCTTGGTTTCTGTTAAAATGCTTCTAAGCAAGACAGTTTGAACAGTCTCTGAGTTTAATGGAGCCTTTTCTGATAAAATTTGAATAACAGTCGGAAACTCCTTTGGTGATTTGGAAGTTTCTACTGGCTTCTCCTTTGGACATTCTAGCCCAGATGTTTGAACAATTATACAAGAATTATCCTCCTCCTCCCTTGGATTTGACAAGTTCTCAAGTTGTTCAGGAACTTTTTCAGACTGTGGAACAAGAACAGTTAAACTTGTAGTGGGAGATTCAGATTGATTTGCTTTAACAAGTTTGGTTGGGGATTGACAATTCTCTGTTAAAGCTCCAAAAAGCTTGGGAAACTTCTTCTTCTTTGCATTTTTAGTTGTGTTTGGTTCAGAAGTGCCTTCTTTCTCTGTAGCTGGAGTTGAATGACTGTTTTCACACAGATTAACAACTCCCTCATTGATAAGACCTTTTGTTACCAAAGGTTCAACAGCAGTTTGTCCTAGCACATTACTGTCATTCATCAATTGAGGAAAAGTTTCACTGATATTTTGACTTTGAACCACATCACTGTTTTCTGAGTTATTTGAAGCTAATTCAGTTCCAAGATTAGCAGTTCCAACCAGAGATTTATCTTGGACACACAAAAACATGCCCACATTTCCTTGTTCATCTTGTTGATAGTAAATTTGAATATTTGATTTTTGTTGTTCTACTGGTGCCACTTCTCTAGCAATTAAATCATTACCACTGCTTTGTACTTGTTCATGTTGTGTAGCAGTCACATAGCAATCACTTTCAGTTTCACTGTCATCCGAAATGTGTATAATGTTCTCTTTGGGGCTGTTATTGTCGAAAGAATGTAGACCATTTACTGTCTGTGACCTACTAAGAAAGTCTAAATCAATGTCAATGCATTCACAAGAATCTTCTGATCCTATATTAACATTTTCTGGTTCTGATGTGTGTTTAAATGTTGAACTGGTATTTTCAAGAATATCACCCATATCTTCAAATAAACACCCATCCTCCTTGGCAAATGAATCGCCCAATTCTTCAACTCCATTTTCAGAAAGCCCACTCCAGTTTGTTTTTATAAAGTCTGTGTTGTAGTTTAGTTCATTATCTTGTCTCTGCAGAAATTGACTTATATCTAAATCCATCTTTTAATGCATGAACAGTGAACCGCTGATCATCATAAAAGCCCTTGCATTGGCCCACATAACATTTCCTGAAAGAAGAGATGTTATATAGTTCAAGTATTTATAATATCATATTTAGACAATAAGACATTGTATACAAGAGGTGCAAGTAAAATGCAACATGGGTTAAAAAAAGAAATTTCAACACAGGCTTTTGATCCTTCCAAATTAAGAGATGTTTGTAAAACATTTCAACTTAATTTAAATTTATACCAGTTTTTCCTCAGTGTAATCTCATATAACCGATTTTGGTATGATTTAACAGTTGTGCAATGTTACCAGAAATTTTTTTTATCAAAATATTTAACTGAAATATTGATGTAACCATCAATAAAATAAAGTAAACAATGGAAATGCAACCTCTGCAAAGAAAATGATAGAGACGATAACCGAGAATATGTTGAAAACTTTAGTCGGATGAAATCCAAAAAATGCCCTTTTTAAACTTTATCATCCTTAAGTAAATGTTGGATGCATAAAATATAAATTGAAACTAGACTCATGCAACACATATTTTCAGAAATGTACATGTACACTTATTTCACTTTAAGAATATTAAACACGATCTGTGTAGATTATGTTTTTATGCGATTAGGAAAATTCGATGTTCTAAAAAAAAGGGACCTGTCATTTTTTCGATAGTAAATGAGAAGCAACTTTATTTATTAAATATCAAAAACTTATATATTTTTACAAATTCACTTTAAGGAAATAAATATATTTTGTATCTCGTAATTTATAAAGGGAAAGAACATTCTGATTGACAATCTTTCTAATTTAATTTAATTCAATATTCTCCAATCTCCCCATACACCATAGAAAATGTAAGAATACAGCAATACATGGAATTTTTCGCAAGGTCCACGATACGCATAACTCGTGTCAAAAATGTCTGTATCATGATACAGTACACGTTAATGTTCATTGTCTTGTTTGAAAATTCTTCATCAAAACTGTGAAAATTTAATGTTACAAAATGATTGAAAACAAGGTAACAATGAAAATTATAATGCTAAGACTATATGCCCACCTCTAAATAACTGTGATTATGGGTCTCAAGACAGTTTTTAAAATATTTTCTTTAACTGTGGAGGTTAACAAGCAAGAATAATTAAAGATATCATTAAATCTAACTGTTGACAGCTGTATCATAATACATGTTGTATTGCAAGACCATATCGTGATATGTATCATATCGTTAGATAGCTTAAATTGCGATACTCAGGCCTAATACACCAATACTTAAACTTATCATGTAAACATATGATAATGAAGAAAAAACTCAATATCATTAAAATTGCTCATGCAGTGCCAGCAGGGACCTGTATATGTCCCTGGAAATAGAGTGCATTTCAAACTTAAACATTTAATCATCAAGTTTGATGGACGTGATGAAACGCTGTAATATATATAAGGTGTAGATGCAAAATGTCAAGTTGTCAAAGTTCAACTGCATAAATTTGAATTAATGTGGAGATGGATGTCTAATTCTGGTTTTTTAATCAAATATGAATACATGCTGGCTTATAAACTCCTTTAAAAGTTAAATGTTTATTTGTAATCGATCAACATTTAAATTATCAGCATTTTTGTATGAATTACCCAATATAGCCAGATTCCAAAAAGAAGTACAATCTGTAAACGGAGTGTTTTGTCAATGATAATAATAAAACTGAGAGGCGTTTTTCCGCAACGAATGCCACCTTTCCATGACAATAATTAGCCAGGTAATGACATCTAAATATGATTATGTATGAATACTCCTCATGTTGATAAAAAGCAACTTACTTTTATCCACGGTCATCTAAAATACATCTTAGCAAAGGTATGGGAACATGGGAAGAAAGAAAAATAAATTATCAATGCATTAGGAAATGCACAATGCTCTCTAAATCACAGACTTTGAATTGTCGATCATATAAATCCGGCCTTCGCGTTTTCTTCAAATTAATAAGTATTTACGCATTATTTCATTGATAATTAAATACTGTAATCAAGCATGATTTTAATATTTTATTATATCATCTCTTAAATGAATTAAAAAAAGATATTTTTTTGTATTTCATATCAAATTTAATTGTATCGGGTTCGGGATTCTCCTTCTGAGGCTAAATCAACATAGGGAAATGAAAGAAGGAAGATGACACATTATTATCGTTTATGTGAATGTTTTATAGCGTATCTCGTCGCTTTTATTAGTTTGAGTAAGTAAGAAATACGAGCAGGACTTATTTATTTTTCAGTACCATTTTTTTCTGTAGCAGATGTTTAGAAATGACTCTGACTCATTGCTGTAATAATATTGCATGAACAAATAATGACAATCTTGATCTCCAATGTTATACACAGATTCAGTGAAATATCGATCGGTTCAAGAGACAATATATAGTTGTAGTTTTTGGTTAAAATTTTATTTTTTTTTTTAAACACTTGATTTGGCTGTTATATAGTTCATGTAAAATGGTCACATTTTGGGTAATTGAATACTCTCAATGTTAAACTTAAAAGACTTAAATATTATTGAAAGTGCTTTACTTGCATTTTGTGGCCAAACGCAGGAACAGCGCAACATGGTGAGCTCCAAATTTCTTGATACAGTCACACTAATGATGGATTTGACAAAAATTTGGCCAAAAAATGATTACTTCATATATTATCAATTTTGCATAGAAACTAATGTAAAATTGCCAATTCAGAAAGTAATCATTTTTTGACCAAATTTTGTTGTATTCATCATTAGTGTGACTGTATAAAAAAATATGGTATTCACCGTGTTGCGACGTTTGGTCTTTTGGTCACAAAATGCAGGTTTCAACTTTCACTTAGCTATTAATAACTATGTTGGTATAGTCTTGTATGTTGAAAGGGTATTGGAATTGAGAGAAATTATTAATTCTTTGATTTATTCATACCGAGATAAATTTGGCGACCCTAACAGTTCTGATGAAAAGGGTTTCAACTTATAGTCTGTATTTTACGGCGTTAGTAACATCACTGTTAACTGTTGTTTAAAGCAGTGATAGTTTTGGTGATTGTGATATCATATTAATCATATGAAACTGAGGGAAAATCTGTATTTCCACTTATTAATGATTGATTATGTTAAATAATTACGAAGAAAAACATTACTGATCGATATAAAGATTATAAATTTTTTTGAAGTGTTATGGATTATAAGGATACCTAAGGGCACGTAAGGGATTGTCTTCTCCTGCAATTCCTTCTTGCCCCCAATTTCCTCATTTCGAAGAGACATAAATTTTATGTTTCAGGTGTGAGTGAAAGAATTAGTAGCAAAACCTATGTAATAGTGTCAGGAAATGCAGCTTGTATTCGACGACTAAATGGAACCCATCAAGTCGGATGTAGTTGTAAGTCAGATTCATTTTTCATTTGAAAAACTTTAAATTGAATGCATTTAATACATTTTATTATATAATGAAATGTGTTTTTCTCTTTTCATTCTTTGTCATTGAATTTCAGCTGAAGTAAGTGGAAATGTTGGAGTGCTTCATTATGTTAATGATACAGACTCACTTGATTGGCTGATAAACAGTGGACCTCATGAGCCTTATGTAGCCCTTCTCACATCATTAAATTTCAACAGGTATCTCTACGAATGATGCATATCAGTAAAACCAGTTTATTGTCTGTCATCCAGTTCATTTTGTGCATTTTAAATGAAGTTCAAAAATTTTGCAAGCTAGACTTGCGATTCATTATGTTGGATAACCTAGTATGTGCTCCTTAGTTTGCAAGGAAACAAAAGAAAAAGGAAGTAGAGATGGATTTGGGGGAGAATTTTTGTAAAGAAAAATTTGTATATAAATTTGTATATTAATGTTTATATTGCATGGTGTAAAAGTAGCTTAAATAAGATTGTACAATTATTTCTTGAACATATATGTACTCTTTAAGACGTATAAATTATTTACCTTTTCTTGCAGAGATACAGTTCAGAAACTGAGAAATTCCAAGAAAATTTCAGGCATTATTGTGTCAGCAAGGACACCTGTCCCAGATAGCTTCTCTCCAGCAGACCAATGCCCAGGGAATTCATATGGTGAAAGAAATTTACAACTTTTTATAAGTGAACTTTCTTAACATTGTTTTTCCTTCACAATTCATTTTCAATGAAGCATATTATTGGTAAAGAAAAATCAGTAACCATTTACATATATTCTATATTTTCAAAACAAAATATAAAACAAATATTGTACAACACTTTATATACATATTGCCAGATAATAAATTGTATTGACTCACAGTCCCACAGACATTCTTTTGTTTACACATGTTCATCATTTTTAGGTTTATATCACAATGATAAAGACTTTGGGAATTGTAAGAAAGTGACATGGAATGAGGATGGGAATGGAATGTTTTTTGAGGACTTTGAGTTTCCAATATCCCTAGTGACAAATAAAAATGAAACTGACTACCTCATTAACAATGTAAGTTTTTTTTCATCGATGTTTGCTTCATCTTTTATGATTTGTAAACATTTAGCTGTTATAGCCAAGTGATCTACTCCACTTCTCACATAGCTACTACCTATAAGTACATGTTTGTGAGAAATAAAGCAAAACCACTTGGCTTGAGAAAATATTGAATAATACATGTACATCTATGTTTGCTGAATTGTGATTAACTTGCTGGTCCTTGACAGTGCTACCTGAAGTTCAATGAGCCCATACAGGGAGTACCCAGAGAATACCCCCTGTGCGCAGTACAGATGAAATCCAGAATGTCTGCAGCCAAAGACTCGGAGACCTGCATGAGACGGACATTAACAGCCACTAATCTTAACCCTGATAAATATTGTGACCCCCTTGGCGATAAAAATGTGATCGGATTTCTCAAAGATGTTCCAAATGAATACAAGCCAGATAGTAAATCTATCATCATGGCTGTAGCAAGGGTGAGTTTTGTTGATTTTCCTGGGCATCGTTTTGAGTGTATCAGTTATTAAACGCTTGTGTCAAATATCATTCACTGAGTAAAGTTAAGGTTTTTGATGTAAAACACATAATCATATTTTGTTAAATGACTGGGATATACATTCATAGCAAGAACGAGTTGTGCATTCTATGTTGTGTAATTATATGAGTTGTTTAAAACTACAGCACTATTATATATTAATCTTCCATTGAATACCAATCAGTAGGACTATGTATTATATAATTGGTTGCTAATTAATGGTTTGTGTTTATAGATGGACTCGTACAGTTTGTTTGAAAATATTTACCCCAGTGCAGACAATCATGTCAGTGGAATCGTTGCTTTACTGGCTGCAGCAGAAGCAATAGGGAAAGTCAAACACCACTTCACCAATGATTCTAAGGACATTCTTTTCACATTTTTAAATGGGGTAAGTTACATGTATTCAGATGCCAAATCATCACTTGTGCAATTTGCTGTATTTAGCTTTAAAAATCTTTTTATGTCGTCTACAGTTCGAAACTGCATTATTCAATGTACAAGCAGTCCAAAAGATGAAAAAAAAAAGCTTTTATCAATATGCAATTAAATTTCATTTGACAAGCTATTGACATGTTACAAATCATTGAAATTTTTATATTAATCTAAGATTGTTTCACTATCCAAGGACAGGTAGTAATAAGTTTTAAAAAGTATTGAATCTCAGAGACTTGATGTACTTTTGTTGTGCAGGAGGCCTTTGATTACATAGGATCTAGCAGAATGATTTACGACATGGATAACAATGCTCTACCTCTGAAGCTGAAGATGGACCACATAGATAAAATTCTGGAAGTGAATCAGCTAGCATTTAGAGACGAGGGAAAAATCTGGATCCACTCTGATCCATTAAGCAGAAGAGAGCCCAATATATCTACTGAAGTAAGTAATCATGGTACCCATATTTCTATGAGAGTGAGTAAATTAAAACAAAGAAATTTTCAGTTACAGGGAGTAATAACCTTATACAGAATGAGGTTGTATAAATGCAGGAATTCCTTATAAAAACAAGTTCCACTGTATCTTGTAAATCCTTCATATTTTACTATGGTGTCATTGGAGAACAATTTTTATCTAGATTGACGAGATGATCAATTCTATTTTGGATATTGGAAAGAATCTTTCTGACCTTGTTGGAGCTGTTGATCAATCATTGCCCCTCCCACCATCTTCTACACAGAAATTTCTTCAGAAACAGAAAATTCCTGCTATAGTTCTGACAGACCATAAGGGAACTTTTACAAACAAGTAAGAATGATTAAAGATGAAAAACTGGCATAATCACATCAAGCATGTATAATCAGCAATACAAACCAATCATTTTCAAATTAAATACATGCATATAAAAAGGTGACATGGATAAAATATTATTTTGTAAAAAATGAAAGGATTCACATACAATATCCACAGTGATGTAAATGAACATTTAACTATTGGAAGTGATGTATGTCATACTGCTATAATGTACTTTCTCTTTGATATAGATATTACAACAGTCGCTTTGATCTGGCTAGAAGCATCCATGCAGAGGCTCCGGACACCAACCGATCAGATGGTGGCTATGACTACGTGACTGACCAGGCCAAAAATCTGACCGATGCTGCTACACTACTGGCCAAAAGTTTGTACACACTGGCCACTAACTCTACTGCTCCTGACACTCTTACAGCTGATGTATCAAGTGTAAGGAGACCAATGACCTTTATCTCTTCCTCTAAAATGAAACAGAATATTTACTGTATAATATTATCATGACTACACTGTATGTGCTAGAAAAAAGTATACAGACGTGGAGACTGGGCGTGGCATCTTATGTTTGGCATGTCTATCTGTTGGCATTTTAACCATAGTTTTATTGAAACCAGATTGTATTCTATGTGTCAAGGTCATTCTTTGATAATAAAGGTCAGGTGGAAATTTGCTTTCTCTTCATATGTCACAAGCATAAAGATAGGGGACTTTTGATATTTACAGTAACTACCTGAAAAAAGGTATATTGAACACTAAAACATGTAATTACTTAAGGTACCCTGGGTACGTTGTATTCTTTTTGCTTTTATTTCAGGTCCAGCACATGCTGTATTGTTTTCTTATCAGTCCAAACTGTGAGTTATTTAAGGAAATCATTCCACCAGCCAATGAAGCTTTTAATAATTTAGGTCAGTATGTATTGATTATATTTTCAATTAGTGAATTATATGAATGTAACAAATTAACAATACATTTTCAAAAGAGAGCAATGAAAATTACTTTTGTCATTAGAATTTTTTCTATTTTAAGGAGGGGGGGGGCAAAACTAAGCATTAACATTAGTATCAGGATTATGATCTAAGATTTTTTTGTACATGTCTTGGCACCATTGATTTTCAGTAAGCCGTACCTCTCCCTACCCATTCTATGTAAGTGTGTACAGCAGTAGTGGCAGTAACAATGTGACCAGACTTATACAGCGACTCCTCACCCGCTACGTCGGAAGTGAAGTCAACCAGACTTCTGCTTGTACCAGCATCGAAAAAGTGTCCACACAGGTAAGATTTTTTTTAAATGTGTACATCTACTGCATTTTCCATCTTTTTTTTCAAAATCATTGGTATATTCATTTATATATTTATAGTTGTACAACTATTTGTGGATGGCTGGACCTCTTAACCCAGACAATAGAACCAGGAGTGTGACTTGTATGAAGAACCGGGTCACTCAAACCAAAGCTTACTCTCCTGCTTTTGAGAACTCAGGTATGTTAAATCATATAAAAAATCAAGTATTCCTTTGTAGAACATATGAAAGAAATGTCCACTTTGGTACCCTTAAACTTTTTAGCTCACCTGAGCCGAAGCTTTTCTGATCAAAATTTGTCCGTCGTCTGTCGTTGTTGTCGTTGTCGTTGTTGTTGTCGTTGTTGTAAACTTTTCACATTTTCATCTTCTTCTCAAGAACCACGGGGCCGATTTCAACCAAACTTGGCACAAAGTATTCTTGGGTGAAGGGGATTCAAGTTTGTTCAAATGAAGGGCCACGCCCTTTTCCAAGGGGAGATAATCATAAATTTGTTAAAAATTAATGGCATTTTTAAAAAATCTTCTCCAGAACCACTGGGCCAGGAAAGATGAAACTCATGTGGAATCATTCTCAGGTAGTGTAGATTCAAGTTTGTTCAAATCATGACCCCCGGGGCAAGGGTGGAGCCAAAATGGCCGACCCAAGTTTTACATAGGAATATATAGGAAAAATCTTTAAAAATCTTCTTCTCCAGAACCACTGGGCCAGGAAAGATGAAACTCATGTGGAATCATCCTCAGGTTGTGTAGATTCAATGTTGTTCAAATCATGACCCCCGGGGCCAGGGTGGGGCCAAAATGGCCAACCCAAGTTTTACATAGGAATATATAAGAAAAATCTTTAAAAAATCTTCTTCTCCAGAACCACTGGGCCAGGAAAGATGAAACTCATGTGGAATCATCCTCAGGTAGTGTAGATTCAAGTTTGTTCAAATCATGACCCCCGGGACAAGGGTGGGGCCAAAATGGCCAACCCTAGTTTTACATAGGAATATATAGTAAAATTTTTAAAAATCTTCTTCTCCAGAACCACTAGGGCAGGAAAGATGAAACTCATGTGGAATCATCCTCAGGTAGTGCAGATTCAAGTTTGTTCAAATCATGACCCCTGGGGCAAGGGTGGGGCCAAAATGGCTGACCCAAGTTTTACATAGGAATATATAGGAAAAATCTTTAAAAATCTTCTTCTCCAGAACCACTGGGCCAGGAAAGATGAAACTCATATGGAATCATCCTCAGGTAGTGTAGATTCAAGTTTGTTCAAATCATGACCCCCGGGGCAAGGGTGGGGCCAAAATGGCCGACCCAAATTTTACATAGGAATATATAGGAAAAATCTTTAAAAATCTTCTTCTCCAGAACCACTGGGCCAGGAAAGATGAAACTCATGTGGAATCATCCTCAGGTAGTGTAGATTCAAGTTTGTTCAAATCATGACCCCCGGGGCAAGGGTGGGGCCAAAATGGCCGACCCAATTTTTACATAGGAATATATACGAAAAATCTTTAAAAATCTTCTTCTCCAGAACCACTGGGCCAGGAAAGATGAACTTAACAATACAATTTCTAAAGAGAGCAATGATGTGGAATCATCCTCAGGTAGTGTAGATTCAAGTTTGTTCAAATCATGACCCCCGGGGCAAGGGTGGGGCCAAAATGGCCAACCCAAGTTTTACATAGGAATATATAGGAAATATCTTTAAAAATCCTTCTGAAGATCCACTGGGCCAGGAAAGATGAAACTCATGTGGAATCATCCTCAGGTAGTGTAGATTCAAGTTTGTTCAAATCATGACCCCCGTGGCTAGGGTGGGGCCAAAATGGCCGACCCAAATTTCACATAGGGATATATAGGTAACCCTTTTAAAATTCTTTTCAAGTACTTCAAAGCTATGATTAGTGATATTTATATGGAATCATCCTCAGGTAGTGTAGATTCTAGTTTGTTCAAATGATGAACGCCTGGAGGGGGGGGGGGGGGGGGGGGGGGTAAATTAAAGCCCGATGTGCTCAGGTGAGTGCTGTGGCCCTTGGGCCTCTTGTTTTTTGAATTCTTGGCTCATTAACTTCCTGTTTTCAAGTTATTATGGTATGTCCTTTAGAATTTCAGATAAATATGTATGCATTTTAAATGCATACATATTTATCCAAAATACAAGCAGTTACTCCACATCTTGTTTATGATGTCCAGAGTGAAAAAGTTTTAGACTTTATTTGAAGTCTTTTAGCTTTTATTTTTAAGATTACCATGGCTGGAATACTTTTCAATACTCAACATGGACAGAATCCAGCTGGAAAACAAATGCTATTTTGCTGCGAATTTTTCTGATTCCAAGTAAAGCAATGGAGGTAAGAGTTATCTGCCTTATTTGATTTTTATGTACACTAGCACCACTCATTGCCTTTATCACTAGTGTATATTTATTCATCAGTGTTTAAAAATATTTGATGGAAGATAAATATTATTTGAAGAATAGGTGCATGTTTTTTTGTTTTTGTTTTAATCAATGACCATTCAAATACAGTTTGATTTTTGTAAGCTGCCAATACCATGTATAATAGAATTAACATGACTTCCCAGGTTGGGAAACAGCTTTTATAGTAATCATGCTCATAGATACCAAGAAAACATTTGTTGTGTAATATACATGTACATGTATATGTTCATTTTACCATTGTATTGTATCACTTCTTCTTTCCTCATATATTAAGTAATTCCAAACCAGTAGACCATGTTTTGAATATTAGCCATACCTGCTTACATCATACAATCTCATTATGAAGTTATAACCCCAGATTTTAATAGTAATGTAACTCTTGACAGGAAAATATGCAATATGTATATCATAGTTTTTTTCTACCTATTCACTGTGGCTATCTGAACAGGTTTATTGATATATATATACACATCAATTGAATATGATTAAGAAAAATTGTAATTTCTGATAAGAATTTTTATTTCTATACTAAAGAAACTGAAAAAAGACTATTTTTCTTCTTTTTAAAGAAGTGTTTGGAAAGCTAATAATTAAGTTTGCTCTTGAATTTACTTTATTTTGTTAGCACTTGGTTTGAAAATTTTTCCTCTGTTCTTTTTTATGCATGTTTTTCAGGTTTCAATTACAAGATTTTTTTCATTTGATTTAATTATGCTAATGAGGATGAAATTCATTTTTCTTGTTTAATTTGTTTGATAATTATTTGGAGTTATTATTGTATTCATTCTGCTGTGTTTCAAAAATGAAAACTGCTTTCAATTAACACATCTTCATTTCATTTCATCATTTGTGACATTTTTTTTTGTAATCATCTACTGCAAACATGGATATTTGTGTGTTGTTGTAGTTTAATGTATGGGTAATGGGAGAAGGGGATATATTTCCTAGTACAACCAAGTTTCAGAATTTTTAACAAAATGAAACTTATGCCCTGTTCACACGGAGAGTTTAATTCTAATTAAACGTAAAGTTACCGCGAATTAGCTTCGCTTAGCGTTCACACGGAGAATTTAATGCGAATTAGTTTAATTCGAATTAATTTACTGCGCATTAAATTACTTCGCATTAGCTCCGTGTGAACGCTAAGCGAAGCTAATTCGAATTAAATTTTGATGCATGCGTAATGGCGAAATTTAGTCAAATCCCACTTGTCGGTGGTCAGCTATAGGTACTTGTGCTATTTCTGAGTGAAAAACTAAGGAAAACTTTGTTAATCATTAAAATGTGTATACAGACACTTTGCCATTATGTCAGATGGATCTGCTTCTGCATAATGTGACGTGATTTGCAAATGACGTCATAATAGCCATGCTGACGCTGGGCTGCAGAAGTAAAATTTTTATTCGCATTAATTTAGTTCGCATTAGCTGTCGTGTGAACGCAATTTCATTCGCATTACTTTGATTCGCATTAGTTTACTTCGAATTAATTTACTGCGAATTAAACTCTCCGTGTGAACAGGGCATTAGGTAGTACTTTTGCGTGATGGAGGGGAATATCAGACGAGAAAAAAAAATCACATAATTATATAAGTTCTAAATTGTGTACATTTGTAAATTTTCCATGTTTAAAGTACTTGAAATTAACAGGGATTGTATTTGTTTGACTAATACATGCTTCCACCCTTTAGGTGGGCATTCTCTGTGCAGGTATCTTTGTCACTCTGGCATCATTAGGCCTTGTTTATCTCATCGCAAGAAAATCAAGTTCTCTATTTTCATTGGATAATGAAACTGAAGTGACATCCTAATTTTCTAAGGTTTGTAACATTGTGTTGGACCCATGCATGAGTTTTAACCTTGTCTAAGTGCTGCTAACAATTGAGACTGAATGTTTAACTTATTTTAATTCTTTGCAAATCATTTAACAGCTGTGTTTAGCAATATGAATCATGAATAACTTACTAACTGATTAACCAATGCTTCACTAAATCTGGGAATGCAGATATCTAGATATATAATCTTTATATTTATGCTATTGCTATTTTTTATACAGTGGACCCTCATTTATCCGGATGCTTTGGTTTCCAGTCAATTTGTCCGGATATGTGAAGCATCCGGATATCTGAATCACCAGTTAAACAAGACAGAATAACATTTTATAATTTCGTTCCGATGAAAAATCGTCCGGATACTGAAGCATCCGGATATCTGGCGTCCGGATATCTGAAGGTCCACTGTACTTTAAATTTCAACAGGTGAATATATGTAAATTAAAAAATTCAAACTTGAAATATGAAATTCAATTTATCCTGGTATCCTTCATTTAGTGTAAGTGCAATGTAGAACTTTAACTTTTGAAGTTAATACTTACAAGTAAGTTATAAGTTACTTAATACTTGAAAACTTCCTGAAATGTGCTGAATTCAATAAATTGTATGAGAAATATAAATTAACAGAAAATATTATAGTGTCAAAGCAGTGTATTCACAATTTTTGTTTTTATGACGTCACAAACTAGTCCGATTTTATATTCTTTTTCAGAAAGAGGACAAAATGGACAAAATTTAAACAATTTTAGCTTTAAAATTTATAGAGCGCAAGGTTGTTCAGTAACAATATTGACATATTTCATTGATATTATCATTCTACACATTATATCAAAATATTGATCCTGAACACACATGCGCTCAGTGACTTTTACTCAAAATATCGACATATGTACATTTTTCTGTAAAATTCATAAAAAACTGAAATTTACGTCATGTTTGTGACGTCATTACGTACATATGGCATCATTACTTATGAAAATATTCAGTGCTTTGAAGTCAGCATATACTCCCCTGTTTAAGAACTTAATTAAATATATCTCCATCAAAGTTTGATTTGGGGGGCGAATATTGTTTATTAACGAATAAAGTTCTTTATATTTAATCCCCTTAAATGTAGAAATTAATACCTTTTTGGTTAAAATCATATGTGTTGTCAAATGTAACTAAGGAGGCCATCGTGGATTTGTTACTTAGCATCAACTATTTATGCTAGCTCTCCCTACATACATGTAGCAGCTAGGTTAGTTCTCCATTCAGAAGCTAGCTTCAAAGCACTGTTAAGGCTTACTATGATGAAATCAATTGAATATAGACGTGCAAAAAACAGGAACTTTTAAAACTGAATTTATTTTTATAAAGCGGTTTTATTAATACATAACTTAAATACTTATTGAAATAATATAGTATACCCCACTCTTTACTGAATTGAGTTCAGTCCCATCAGTGGACAGTCACGTGATAGATGCATAATGGTTGCATTTCATTTCCGGAATTTTGGGTAATTATCAACTTTTCATTTCCGACATTTTTTAGTTTTCATTTCCGACATTTTTTTGTTTTCATTTCCGACATTTTTCAAATACATATGTAGTACCTATAGTAACAGATTTGATAACATTACTTATGAAAAATTTTAAGGAATATATCATACATAAATCATTGAAATCCAATTTTATAAATCTGTGAGTGACTTGGACATTGATGTATGGTGCTGTCTCTGACATTTAATTTAGTGCACATTGAATGTGGTGAAAAAGTTTAATGCTCATTGATCTCTATATACCTAGATTTAGTTATACATGTATACAAATAAGTATAGATGTTTTTTTGTTTTTTTTTTTTTCCCTAAATATTAAATATTTTGGTATAAATACTTTTAAAATTCCATTTTCTTTCACTTAAAAAACATTGAACTGCCGCACAGGTAAATTCCGGAAATGGAAAAAAAAATATGTCGGAAATGAAAACAAAAAATGTCGGAAATGAACTAAAAAAATGTCGGAAATGCTATGCATATTTCCGGAAATGAAATGCAGCGATGCATACCGTAATATTTGTGTACTGAATGGAAGTCATAAACAAATTTCAATATCGCAAGGCATACCTTAGTTTGAATTAAAAATTTAAGTTACCAATTGTTTCTGCATACTTTGTACTTTCTAGAAAGTGCTGCTGCTTTATATAAAATTTGCATTTTATTAGTTATAAAATTTCAAGTAAATATGCTCATGTCGAAATATGTTTGACTTTTACCAAGTATTTTATGTCCTTATTAAGTAACACTCTCAATGTAAAGAAAGCAGTAGCACTTTTCAAGTTAAGGAACACATCCTTTATTTATATTCAAAAAATCGCTAACATCTATTAAGTGTATGCCCTTGCAAAAAGGCGATTTAATAAGCCACGTTGATGTAAAACGTGCCAAACCTGTACACATAAACACTGTAAAATTAATTAAATACATTCTCTTGCGAGTCATTGAATAATTGTACTAAACAAAGGTTTTACATTGGTATTATACCTTATCTATAAATTGTAAATAATATTCTGTTTAATAATAAAATGCATTTTTCACTATAAAAAATATACTTGATCTGCCTTTCACAGCACATTTTTACCAATATGATGTCATGTCGACAAGTTTGTTGCGATCAGTGATTTGTTTATAAACTGTTGTCTGGGATTTAACTAGCAACTATTTTCTATGTAATTGATAAGTTTTAATGTTGCTTATTATGTTTTTTATTATGCTAATACAGTTTAATATTGCAAAGTATATTATTTTCTGGTATTATGAGAAGTAACTTTTTAAAACATTTTTGTGTGATATCATAGTAAACATTTCCTGTATATATTAGGCCCTGCCCCATTTTTCAAGCCTTAACAATGCTGCGTTAGAGTAGCAGCTACGTAGCAGCTATTCTGTTCAATGCAGCTATCACCAAGGAAAGACTCTGTAAAAATGCAGTTGAACAAAGTCAATGTCAAGAGTATAAATTTTTAAATTCATCTCTGGTTCAAAACTTTGTAATAGAGAAAAATTAGCAGGTTAAACTTAGTAGAAATACTGGTTTTTATTATATACCGAACTGTGAATCACTGAATGTCAGTGTTGATTTCACATAGTTTCATGTGAATTTGTGTGATTTGACATTCCACAATATTGTGGTTTTCTGAATCTATATCACCCCTCTCTGAAACTGATGACATAGTACACAACTAACATGTACAGTGTAGTTCATTTCTTTCTTGCATATCAAAATGTTCCTAAAAATCTAGGTGCTTTGTTTAATAGATAAAGGTTTTATTATTCAATATTGATCCCAAAAGTTCTTTTTATTTTATTTAAGACAGATAAGTGAAGAGGTCTATCCCAAAAGTTCTTTTTATTTTATTTAAGACAGATAAGTGAAGAGGTCTATACAATATTTTTTTCATTATAACTAACAGTAACTTGATCCCACAAGTTATATCGCATCCCATTGACCAACACGGTTCATTGGATCAAACTGGACACATTACATATTGTTTGAACTAATAATAGGCATCTATTAATGAAGTATACACTAAAATTTTATATATTTAATATAAAAACATATATCAGAATTTAATTTGGCCACACTTGCAGTTTTACTTCATGAGCAGATATTCATTTCATTTTGCCTGGAAAATGTTAAATTTTTACATGAATCGTGGAAAATTTTAAAAGATAATTAATATAGGAAATGTAGTACACTTGTCATAGAAAATCTAGAAGCTTTATGATTGATATTGTCTTCTTGTATTTCTTCTTTTTGCTACTGAATTGTATAAACATTAGATTTTGTAGCTTGTTGCATGTACATTATTTTTCAGTGAACATCTTTCATATGTCTTATTTAAATGGTGTAGTATGCTAGTTCATGTAAACAATGACTTTAAATTGTGTTTATCTTCATTTAATGTATTCTGACTCTTTTAATTTAGATTCAATGAAATTCAGTGCATAACAGATAGATTGTTGTGTATTTGTAAGATACTATGTATATTACGACTATTTCTAATTTACTACTGTCAATTCGCAAAAGCAGACTGTGTACTAATTTTATCACCTTATTCTGCCATTGAAGATTTATCTCCATTTGTTTCAATCATGAAAAATCTTAAACAAAATCTATCCAGTTAAAAAACATTTTCAATCCATATTCTGTTGTCAATAATAACTATAAAATTCTTTTAACATAATTATATAAAGTAAGATTTAGCTGCAGCTGCATATGTCCTCCATACACTTATGTTCTAGTACCTGGTGTTTTCTTTTTATCACAAGTGTATCCAAACCTTTTTAAATTGAGTTGTGCAGTCTTAGAGAAAAATCTGTAGAATCTGCATACATTGCCTTTAAGATCATAATTGATATCAAAATTTCATCTGGAATTATTACTATTATCTATAGTTATGATGTTGAGTTATGTGGACTATTCATTAATGAAGGTCTTTTTAATATTTGACCAAATACATGTATCTGCATGCTGTAAAAAAAGCTTCTATAAAGTAAAGCAGTCCAAATAATGTTTATTTCTTGTTGGACTTGTGTTCAGCAGTATATAAAAACACTTTCTAATTTTTATATGAGGCTTTTATTAACAGCAAGGTGGAATCAGGTGATTTTTTTTTTAAAAGCTACTTGTTTTTTGAATAAAGCTTATTTCTGATCTATCATTTCTGCCCTTGGTTTGCAATGTGTGTGTAACTTTAAAAAAAATTAATGTTATTATTTCTTTACAGACCTCCATTTTGTCAGGGGGAGTAATTCTGACTTTGGTTTCCATGGTGCTAATTTACTTCCTGAACAAGAAGTCGGACATTTTGTTTGCCCATCCAGGACCAAGCAATATTTAGAAGGACCAGTATATCTTTTGTCTCTTAGAGTTTCAAGTGCTGTGATAATTTTAATAATCCCTTAGTGGTATTTTTTGTCCCACTGTCATCTTTATAATTCAAGCTACATTTACTTTGATCCATCATACACCAAGTTTGATTTTTAAAAAAATATAATTTGTACATTGGGATTTATCAATAACAGGGGAAAAGTTGTTACTTATAAGTGAATTAAGAAATAGCAGTAAACATTATATCATCTGGATTCTTTGGCCTTAAATTGTTGGCAGTGAGAAGACTTAGCTGATTTTTTCTCCAAACGATGTCATAATATACATGTATGTACATGTTTCAAACTGACAAAGTTTTCATGAGATTTCAATATGAGAGTGGTTATATTAAGAATGTTTGTAGTTCTGTGAGAGTAAGTCCATACATTTTCACAGATTATTTATATTTCATACTGTATTTAAGTCATCCATCATTATTTTCCTGATATGCTACTAAATACAACTATTTTTAAGGTATTCTACATGGATTTTTTATTGTTAATTTGTTATCCTGTAACTTTCCTTTCATTTCAATATTTTGTATTTGCATATGTAAATTGCATTTTTATGTAAAGTAACATTTTATCAAGTATGAAGTGAGTTAATGAGTGGCCTATGCTTGATCATCAAATTATTACATGATTGCAAAATGTCATCATTTACATGTAAAATATAGAATTGTTGTAAGCTTTTGTTCAACGACTGGATTTTACTACCAGACAGTAGTGTGTTGTTTTAGTTCTCATTGCTTTATTGTGTATACATTGTATGTAGGTACATTTTTCTTTGAGGAGAATCACTAAAATTTCACTTTTATGAATCATGACAACATAATACATATTTGTAAAAATGTTAATTGTATGCTTGTAAACTTTGTAATCTATAATGGTAAAGTGTTATGGAAAAAGCTAAATAAAGCATTCCAGTGTACAAGTACATTTGAGATTTTTAGCTCTACTGGTCAGAGACCAGAAGAGCTTATGCGATAGTAATGCGTCCGTCGTCCGTCCGTCTGTCTGTCTGTCCGTCTGTCTGTCCGTCTGTCTGTCTGTCTGTAAACAATTTTTCAAAATGCTACTCCTCCTACAGTTTTGGTCTGATTTCAGTATAACTTGGCACACAAGTAGACCACACTAAGATACACAATTCTGTATATCGGTTTTTGATTTCGATGAACGGTGTTGCCGTGGTTACTAAAAATAGAAATTTCTGTGAAATTCTTTCAAAATGCTACTCCTCCTACAGTTTTAGTCTGATTTCAATATAACTTGGCACACAAGTAGACTACACTAAAAACATAATTCTGTATATCGGTTTTTGATTTCGATGAACGGTGTTGCCGTGGTTGCTAAAAATAGAAATTTCTGTCAAATTCTTTCAAAATGCTACTCCTCCTACAGTTTTAGTCTGATTTCAATATAACTTGGCACACAAGTAGACTACACTAAGATACATAATTCTGTGTATCGGTTTTTTATTTCGATGAACGGTGTTGCCGTGGTTACTAAAAATAGAAATTTCTGTGAAATTCTTTCAAAATGCTATTCCTCCTACAGTTTTAGTCTGATTTCAATATAACTTGGGACATAAGTAGACTACACTAAGATACATATTTCTGTATATCGGTTTTTGAATTTTATGAACGGTGTTGCCGTGGTTACTAAAGATAGAAATTTCTGTCAAATACTTTCAAAATGCTACTCCTCCTACAGTTTATATTTCAATATAACTTGGCACACAAGTAGACTACACTAAGATACATAATTCTGTATATCGGTTTTTTATTTCGATGAACGGTGTTGCCGTGGTTACTAAAAATAGAAATTTCTGTGAAATTGTTTCAAAATGCTATTCCTCCAACAGTTTTAGTCTGATTTCAATATAACTTGGCACACAAGTAGACTACACTAAGATACACAATTCTATATATCGGTTTTTGATTTCGATGAAGTGTTGTTGCCGTGGTTACTAAAAATAGAAATTTCTGTGAAATTCTTTCAAAATGCTACTCCTTCTAAGTTTTAGTCTGATTTCAATATAACTTGGCACACAAGTAACTACATAAGATACACAATTCTGTATATCAGTTTTTGATTTCGATGAACGGTGTTGCCGTGGTTACTAAAAATAGAAATTTCTGTGTTGTTTCAAAATGCTACTCCTCCTACAGTTTTAGTTGATTTCAATATAACTTGGCACACAAGTAGACTACAATAAGATACATAATTCTGTGTATCGGTTTTTGATTTCGATGAACGGTGTTGCCGTGGTTATTAAAAATAGAAATTTCTGTGAAATTCTTTCAAAATGCTACTCCAAATACAATTTTAGTCTGATTATAATATAAATGTGGCATGCAAGTAGACTGCACTAAGAACATAAAGAGACTTAATCAAGGATCATTATTCTATTTATCGCTGTTGAAAAGTTTCAATTTCCAACTGCTTAAGAACTTTTCTCTTCCTTTGCTATAAGTACAAACCAGTAGAGCTTCAGTCTCGACAGAGACTTCTGGTTTATTTGGTTTTGACACACATGTATATTTTACTATGAGAACTGCCCAAAGAAGGTTCGTTCTTTTATATTCCTGTTGCAATACAAATATTCCCTGAGTGGTCCATGTTCTATTAGATATATTCCTAGTTTATTAATGATTTCGGAAATTTAAAAAGTGTTACAATAACTTGATGCACTGCTGTAAGGACAGGATTGACTACTGGTATTAAGTAGACCATGTAAATAAAACTTATTTAGTTTCCTAAATTAAAATTGATTTAAACAATCAACACTTTTACCTAATAATATAGCATTCAAAGGGACTTTTACTGTCGGTCTAAACATCAAAGATTTAGATAAACATAAACAAAGAGATACTTCCCAGAATAGTCATTGTTTGTTGACTTTTACTAAGGCTAGCTTTGAGTATTGGACATTCATTCATCAGTTCATTACACGATACACAATTTACTGAATGAGTTAGATTCAGGATTTAGGCATCTGTTGTTCTTTCATCTTTAAAGTGCAACTAGGGTTAGGCTCAATGATCAAAGCTTTAAAAATAAAAGTGACAGTTGATCATCCAAATCCTTTTACTTACTTATCCAGTCCATGCACCGGAGGACGCATAAGGCCGTTCTGTTCAACAAAGAACACCACTTATGGCGTTCACTGGCAACAACTAATTTACTTACTTATCCAGTCCATGCCCATTTATTCTCATGCTTTTTGCTTTGTCAACATAAATTTTTAGGCCTGTATATTCTGCGACATCATGTAATCTCCTGGTCTTTTTCTGCATGTTGCTGTGTTTGCTGGAAATAAGTGCAAGGTCGTCTGCATAATCCAGGTCTTCTAAGGTGGACATAAATTTCCAAGGTATACCTCTCTTCTTATTGTTGGTATTTCTCATTATCCAGTGTACCACAATGATGAACAGGAACCCAGACATAACACAACCTTTTCTCACTCCTGTCTGTAATTTGAACCAGTCTGTTTTTCTTCCATTCTCTATGACGCAACTAGAACTTCCATCGTATAATTTCTTGATGATGTCCACAGGTACACAAGGAATTCCATACTGCCTTAATATGTCCCCCAGTTTCTCTCTTATTATGCTGTCAGATGCCTTTTTTAAGTCTATGAAGCTTATGTACAGCAGGCTCTATAATTGTTCTAAAATATTTCTTAGAATGTAAATCTGTTCTGATTTTCCTCTTCCTCTTCGATATGCAGCTTGCTCTGGTCTTATCTGTCCTCTAGTCCATCTCTTATTCTGTCAATCACTATTCTGCAAAATACTTTAGATGACACTGATAGTAGTGATATTCCTCTATAGTTGTTACATATTGTCTGATTTCCTTTCTTATGTATTTTGACAATGAGCGATCTCTTCCAGTCTGTTGGTATTTCCTGGTCTCTGATGATTCTGTATAATAAATTTGTAAGCTCTTATGTTGAATATGATTCTCTCTCCTTTAGTAGCTCCGTATTGATGTTATCTATGCCGGGACTCTTTCCATTCTTCTTTTTAATTGCCTTTTTAACCTCCTCCTCTCTTATTGGTGTTGTGTCAATTTAATCTATTTTGTTCTCTTGGGTGGTGCATTCTTCGGGTAATTCTGTTGTTTCTTTTGGGACATTAAGGAGCTCTTCAAAATGCTCTTTCCATCTCTCCAATATTTTTCCAACCTCAATGATTAGTTCACCATTCTTGGACCTTTTGCCACTTGTCCTGTTTTTTTTCCCCACACAGCTGTTCAGTCAGTTGATAAACTTCACTCAGACGGTTTGTATTTGCTGCATTCTCTGCTTGGTTAGCTATATCTTCCCGTTTTTTCCCTTTTATCAGCTCTTGCTCTTCTTTTCAATTCTTTGTCTTTGGTCTTGTTTTCTTCTCTCTTAATTTCTTCTTTCATCTATGGCTTTGTATGTATTTGCAGTAAGCCAGTCTTTGTGTTTCCTTTTCTTCTGGCCCAAGATCTTTTCTGCTGTTTCATTGTATTCTTCTTTCACAAGGGTCCATTTTTCAATGATTGTGTTTTCGTCATCAGCCAGTTGCTGAAACCTATTCCTTAGTTCAAGTTGGAATCCTTTGCTTATTCTTGGATCTTTCAGCTTGTTGACATCATACATCTTCCTGTTGCTTTCCTTTGGCTTTAAGTTTCTACAGAGCTTCATCTTTACCTTATCCAGTACTAGATGGTGATCTGAGTTGGCATCTGCACCACGCATAACCTTTACATCACCTACTTCCTGTATCTGCCATTAACCATTACATTGTCAATTTGGTTCCTATCTCATCCATTAGGTGACTCCAATGTAAGCTTGTATATGTCAAGGTGCTTAAAGTGGGTTCCGCAGATGATTGATTTATTGTGTGTTGTTTAACATCCCTCTCGAGAAATTTTCACTCATATGGAGACGACACCACTTGCCGGTGGATAGCTACAAATTTTATCCTTTTCTCGGCACTCAAGGTCATTGAGCAGTGAGGGATCTTTTTCGTGCCAGCACCTACTGCGACACGTGACCTCGGTTTATACGATCTCATCCGAAGGACCGGTCTCCAGTCGGATTCGAGCGGGCGCCGTTCCGCAGATGATTAAGTTATTAAGAGTGCAATTTCGCATAACCTCATGCCGTTTTCATTCATAGTCCCAATGCCCTCTTGTCCCATGACTCTTTCCCAACCTTCTTGTAGCTGTTCATAGAAGGTGTCCTTAACCAATTCGTCTGCTTCGTTTGTTGGGCTGTATAATTGTAATACATGTATTGTTAGTTTAGCAAAGCGGGAGAAAAAGCGCGCATGGATGATTCTGTCATTAACAGGATTCCATTCCATCAAGCTTTGTCGGCTTCCATCAAGCTAAATATAAGTCGTATTCCTCTCTGATGTTCCTCAGCTCCGGAGTACAAGATGGTCTCTCCATAGGTTGTTCACCAAAGCCTGTCTATCTTACTTCGCTCATTCCCATTATATATGTCCAACTTATATCTGTTGGTCATATATAATGGGAATGAGCGAAGTAAGATGGACAGGCTTTGGTTAACTAAAGACAACCTATGGAGAGACCATCTTGTACTCCGGAGCTGAGGAACATCAGAGAGGAATACGACTTATATTTAGCAGGAAAAGCCGACTTAACTCATATCTGTTAAACTTTCTTACGATGTTAGCTGTTTTTCCAATTTGGAATATTGTTCGTACGTTCCAACATCCGATCTTGGTGATGTTTTTAGTTGTTGTTAAGGATGGCATCTGCGTTCCTTTCAGACCGTTAGGGCCCTCTCAGCTTTTCCTAATTGACGTCATTCTCTGGAATTCCAAATGAAGGTAATCCTCTTCTGGAATCTCGCATGTCGAGCTTGCCCTTCCTTCTGTGGTATTTATTGTTGTAACGGTTTCCGTAATCAATTGTTTTTTATGGAAGGAGGTG